ATTGTTTTGGATAATTAAAAGATAATTAGAAAACAGGCTTAAGAATCAACATATCTAAAAAGTACTAAGGTTTGCTAATAAAAATGCCATGTTAAGAGATGGAATCAAAATTTAGTGTTGGTTTTGAACCCATCTTAATTGGCTAAGTTCAATAAGAATATTATAGTGCTTAAATAATTTTAGTGCAAATGCAATTTAATATGTTTATTTTTGTAAAGGCAATTAAGTGCAGGCAGATAATATATTTCTGGAATTATGTTACAGATTAAAGTTAATGGGCCTTTTTTTTTTTAAAGTTTAAACTTTAAAGACCAGTTCATAAGTTATAGTGAAATAGATGTCTTACTGAAAAAAAATCTAAGGAAATGGCTTTGTATGTTTCATGGGTTCTTTTGTTTGTTTTCTTTAGCAAGAGTGAGGACATAGTAAGAAGCTAAAGATAGCTTCTTATTCATGAAGAAAACTCCAGTAAGATTATCAGTTGTTATTTACATGTCTGTGTTATTAAGATTTTGGAGAAAAATGCCTTTATGTTGTTTGGTCATAGCCTGAGAGCATTGATTAGGGGGTACTTAGAAAACGTTGCTGAAATTGTAAACTCCTTATAGAAACAGTTATTGCTAGATGCCTGCATATTGAATCAAAGTTTATTACTAGAAAAAGTCACACTGGATGTAAGAAGATTGTAAGACTACTATTCTTGCTGTGTTCTGCACAAGTAGTTGACTAGAAGTTTATGGATAAAAAGTACTGTCACTTTCCAAATGTATTTCAGTCTGCAGTTATTGAGAACCTGCTATGTGTCAGACATGAGGTATTGGGAATGAGTGAATGAGAACAGATACCCGCCCTGAACCATGTTAGTCCCTCTCTCCTTGTGACCCAGTTTATTCAGCATGAAGGACATAATGAGCCACAGAACCTTAGTGTTGTTTGCTCGAATCAGTTTTGTGTTGAACTTTACTGATTTGTTTTTAACAAAAATGCTTCAGCTGCCAACTCTGCTACTTAATTATGTGATTGAACTTGGGGAAATTACTTTATTTCTTTTTTTAAAAGATTTTATTTATTTATTTGACAGAAAGAGAGGGATCACAAGTAGGCAGAGAGGCAGGCATAGAGAGAAGGGGGGAAGCAGGCTCCCCGCTGAGCAGAGAGCCTGATGCTGGGCTCAATCCCAGGACCCTGGGATCATGACCTGAGCCGAAGGCAGAGGCTTAACCCACTGAGCCACCCAGGTGCCCCTCTGAGTCTGATACTCCTTAAATGGTAACAGGGATAGTAATTTCTCCATTGAATGTAAGTGCCTGATTCAGTGCCTAGTATATTATTGGTGCTTAGCAGCGGTTTTTGTCTTCCCCTCCTGGCTCAGACATGATTCTGAGATTTTGATTTGGTGATCTTTTAAGGAATAAGCAAGCTGTATCATAGCTTTGATTTGCAATATTTTATTCAGTATTTCTGAGTTCTTTTACTTATAAGTATTGCTCTAAGTTGCAAATTAAGTATCCTAGGAGTTCTTGCAGTATATAATTTCTTAGACACCTTTTAAATTAATTTGAAAGTAAACTCTGCCCCAACATGGGACTTGAACTCATGACCCCAAGATCAGGAGTCACATGCTCTACTGACTGAACGAGCCAGGTGCACCTTCTTAAGACATTTTAAAGCACTCTTTTTTATAAGTTTATGTGCTTGCTAGTGAAGTTTAAGTATCTTTTAGTTGTGTGACCCTGAATTGCTACTGAGCTAGTAAGTTCGGTGCCTTTGGCTTTGAGTAATAATCATCAGCCACAGAGCAACAAACTCAGATTGCTGGCCTCATGTGTCTTTTTTGGTTGGAAACACTGACACTTAATTGGCAATGACTGTGTTTTTTGAATTTTTCAAGTATCAAACAATATTGAATATTTTCTAATTTCTGAATTATTTTTATAATGATTCTATAGTGTTTTAGTAGAATTCACTCAGTTGTTGCTTTTCTTTGCAATATCTATTTTTATAAGAGGTTTTAAGGAAAAAGGACACTTTCTGGGGTGGTCTGCCCATTTTGTAACAGTCACTTCTCTGAAAATTCACCCTTATCCTGCCAGGTGTGGGCATTCTTCCTCCTAAAGTTGTGTGTGACCTACTTGCAAGCCTTTTATCCTTTTGGTCACATACAAATTGGATTAGGGATAAAAAAGAGACTCTAGCTGGATTATTTGGAATGATCTGGGTATTTAGAAGTGGGACCGAATGATGACTGGTCTTTAAACTACTTGTGTGAACTAAAGTGTTGAAGACTTGGAACGTGTTTGCAGCTATCTTCAGCACTGCACACGGAGAAAAAGAAAAAGTCAGTCTGCAGAGAGAATGGTATAGATGGGCAGAAACAGACTAAAGTCAGAAGGAGAGTACTATTTGGGTTCCTAACAGCTTCCTGGGTCTTTATTGTAGTGCTTTGTGAGTCCTAGTTATCCTTCAATATCGTAACATATCTCAGTGATCTTCCAGTAAGTTTCCCTTTTTTGCACAAGGCTGCTCAAAATTCTGTTTCTTAATTTTTATTTTTTATTTTTTTTAAGATTTTATTTATTTGACAGACAGAGATCACAAGAAGGCAGAGATGCAGGCAGAGAGAGAGAGAGGAGGAAGCAGGCTCCCTGCTAAGCAGAGAGCCTGATATGGGGCTCGATACGGGGCTCGATCCCAGGACCCTGGGATCGTGACCAGAGCCGAAGGCAAAGGCTTTAACCCATTGAGCCACCCAGGCGCCCCAGTTTTTATTATTCTTTTGTTGAACTTCTAAAAAAGCTAGATTAAGCTTAAAAATAAAATGGGTGTGAATATCCACATGCAGAAGAATGAATTTAGACCCCTCCCTTACACCATACACAAATGGATCCTAGACCTAATTACAAGAACCAGAAACTATAGAACTCTTAGAAAAATGAAAGGACAACTCACAGAATGTGAGTTTTCTCACAGAATGTGAGAAATTATTTACGTGTTTTATGACTGAGAAGGTGCTTTTTTCTTGAATACTCAGGTGGGGGGAAAACCCAAAACTGAAAAACAGCTCTTAGAACTCAGTGATAAAAAGGACAACCCAATTTTTAAGTAGGCAAAGACTGAATAGACTTTTCTCCAAAGAGAATATGCAAATGGCTAATGCTTAACATGATTAGTCATCAAAAATATAAATCAAGACCACAGTGACATACCACTTCACATCCACTGGGATGACTGTAATTAAAAGGATAGAAAATAACAAGTGTTGGCATGGCTGTGGAGAAATTAGAACCAACATAACATTGCTGGTGGGAATGTAAAGTAGTGTAAATACTTTGGAAAACAGTTTGGCCTTGTTTCAAACACAGTTACTGTGGAACCAGCAGTTCTACTCCTGGGCATATACGCACAAGAAACATGTTCACACAGAACTGGTGAACAAATGTTTAAGGCATCATTATTCATAATAGCTAAAGAGTAGAAACAACCCAAATGCACATCAGCTGATGCATGGATAACCAAAATGTCTTATATCCATAAATGGAGTATGGTTGAGTCATAAAAAGAAATGAAGTGTTAGTATAAACTGCAATATGAATGAATCCTAAAACCATCCTAAATGAAAGAAGCCAGACACAAAAGACCACAAAGTGTATGATTTCATTTATATGAGATGTCCAGAATAGGCAAACCCATGGAGAAAGAAGGGCAATGAGTAATTTCCAGGGACTGGAGAAAGGGAAATAGGCAGTGATGGGTAATAGATAAAGGATTTTGGGGGAAGATGGAGATGGCCTAACATTAGATTTAGATCATGGTTATGGTCCTACAACTCTGTGAGTATACTAAAATTCATTGCATTGTATACTTTAAATAGATGAGTTGTATGGTATATGAATTATATCTTAATAAAGGTATTTTTAAAAGCTCCAAAAATAATTATGAAATAATAATAAAAATAAAATTTTTACAAATAAAAATATATTTCTAGAGGTGACTTTAGTTGTAACCGTTTTTTCTTTCATAAATTTCATACCTAAATACATTTTTCTTTTTTAACAATGACATAGAAAATTGTAAGTAGCATGGTACTTCATTTAAAAATATGAACACAATTTAGTGCTGATTGTATCAGTTTGAGTGACAGTTAAATTGAAATGTAGATTTTTTTTTTTCCCTAACATTTCTCTCATTGCCATTATGTTTTGGGGGTGAACGGAGACAGTTGTGGTATTCTGAAAAGATCTCTGAACTTAGTACTTGCTAAAGCAGGACAAACATTAAGTGTTCAATCTGTGGTCTGAATAAACAACTTAACATCTTAGAGCATTGGTTTCAAAATTTTAAAGTGAGAATCATGCTGGGCTAAAAAATTTTTTTTCTTTCTGTAGTAGTTTAGGGAGATTTTCCTAAGAAAAATAAGTATAGGTATATTCATAGGTGTTTCAATTTGACCACACCAGTATTATTTAGATTAAGCATTTTGCAGAAAGTGTCCAACTTGTCTAATGCTTAGTATTACATGTGAGAAAATAGGTTCTCAGTCTATACTATTTATTTATTTACTTATTTATTTTCATTCTATATTATTTATAGAAATTGAAATTTTGAATCACCTGGGTGGAGAAGTCCGTTAAGCATCCAATGTGTCATCAGTTTTGACTGGTTTTAGATATTATTGTATCTAAAAATTAATGTTAATTTTAGTGTAGCTGATTCATCTATAATTAATTTTTTTAAATGTATCAACTGTAATCATTTTTCACCTTTTAGTTTTTGATAATATATATACTGCTTTATGATGCACAGATAACAGGTTGATTTTAGAGAAGTCTGGTATAATTGTATCCAGTCTCCAGACTGAGTTATTTAGTGACAAATATGTGGTAAATACACTTTTATGTTGCAGTTACGTGAGGTTATGGGATAGGTTTCTGTTTTCCTTTTTTTTTTTCTTTAAGCTTGATAGTTGCATGATTAATATGCTGGCTTTTTCTTATTTGCAGAGATCCTTCATATTTTGATGAAAATTGGCTGAACAGAATCAAAACTGAAGTAGGAGATAATTGGAGGCTAAAGGTATTTTCTTTTTATTTTCCCATCTGTTAAATAGTCTTTCAGTTGTTTGTATATAATATCTGTTGAACTTCTATCTGATGTGTTCAGTGAACTTCAGAAACCCAGATTGCCTGTAGTAAAATAATCCAGAATTAAGGATTCGAGGTAACTTGAAGTTGCTCACAAAGATACGTACATAGTGTAAGTCAGTGGGACACAGTGACCGTGGGCATGGACTCTAGAGCCAAGGTGCCTGTGTTTGTATCACAGCTCTACCATTCAGTGTCTGGGAAAGACTGATCATTCTGTACCTCAGTTCCCCATTTGTAAAATGAGTGTTGTAATAGGATCTACCTCACAGAAATAAATGAGTTAGTATATATAACATATTTGGGATCGTGCATATGTAATGTTAGTTGCTAGAGTTGTTATTAATAATGAGAAAATATTGGTCAATATTAACTGAGCACACAACACTACGAGAATGAAGTATTTTCATTTCTTTCTTAGTAGCCTTAAGTTCCAGTATTTCTCAGGCTTCTTTGAGAAAGTCAAAACCCACAAAAAGAGGGGTGCCTGGGTGGCTCAGTCGTTAAGCATCTTTTTCAGCCCACGTCATGATCCCAGGGTCTTAGGATTGAGCCCCGCATCTGGCTTCCGCTTCTCCCTCTCTCACTCCCCCTGCTTGTGTGCTCTCTCACTGTGTCTGACTCTGTCAAATAAATGAAATCTTTAAAAAAAAAAAAATGAAAAGAGGGGCGCCTGGGTGGCTCAGTGGGTTAAGCCGCTGCCTTCGGCTCAGGTCATGATCTCAAGAGTCCTGGGATCGAGCCCCGCATCGTGCTCTCTGCTCAGCAGGGAGCCTGCTTCCTCCTCTCTCTCTGCCTGCCTCTCTGCCTGCTTGTGATCTCTGTCAAATAAATACATAAAATCTTTAAAAAAAAAAAAAAATGAAAAGAAATACGGTTTACATTGTCGCCTCCTGTCCACCTATGCACATAGTTGAACAAGTTTTTTCCCTTATTCTAGGTACTGACATTTTGATTTTTAAAAAATTAGTTGCAACCCACTAAATTAGTTTTATATTTTGAAATAATTCTAGATTCACAGGGGGCTGCCGAAAAATGTAGAGAAGTTCTATGTATCTTTCACCCAGTTTCCCCAGAGTTACATCTTGCATAACTATAATCCAATATCAAAACTAGGAAACTAACATTGGTACAAGTCAGTTCATTCAGGTTTCACCAGTTTTACCTATGCCGTTTGGTGTTTGTGTGTACACTTCTGTGTAGCTCTAGCAATAATGTAGTTTCCTGTAATGCCCACTACAGCGAAGACACAGAATTGTTACATCTGCAAGACTCCACATGCTTCCTTCATGACCACATCCACACCACATACTCCCCACCCTATTACCTGGAAACCATTAATTTGTTCTCCGTCTCTATAATTTTGTTACACTAAATTGATTTTTATGACCCAGTGATGATTATGACTGCCAGTTTGGAAAGCTCTAGAACCATTTCTCTTTGATATAGAAGGTATAGACTCAGAAATGCAAATGAGTAAGCATGTGAGGTCCCTGGACTTGAAATGTTAAGCTTGGTTTGTTTTTATATTTCTTCTATAAAACACATACTTGATAAAAAATAGTCATTGATTGGGGCGCCTGGGTGGTTCAGTGGTTTAAAGCCTCTGCCTTCAGCTCAGGTCATGATCTCAGGGTCCTGGGATCGAGCCCCACATCGGGCTCTCTGCTCGGCAGTGAGCCTGCTTCCTCCTCTTTCTCTCTGCCTGCCTCTCTGCCTACTTGTGATCTCTGTCAAATAAATAAATAAAATCTTAAAAAAAAAAATAGTCATTGATTAAATATTGGGTCTGCCAAAATTTAATTCCTTTTGTTTACTAGGCTAGAGTGAATGAATGGACACTGATTTAAGCCACTATTTTAATTTCTAAATAATCTTTCAAAAATAGACAATTCAATGACTTATACATATGTAATATTTTATACATAACATGTTAAAATATTTTACGTATATGTATATACATATTTATATTTATATTTATATTTTTTTTTAGACAAGGAAGGAGGGAAGTAGGGAGGGACAGAGTGGGAGAGAATCCTAAGCAGGCTCCACGCCCAGTGCAGAGCTTACCGTGGGGCTTGATCTCACAACCCTGAGTTCATGACCTGAGCCAAAATCAAGAGTCATTCACTCAATGAAGCCACACAGCCATGCCTAAATGATTACTTTTTAATATTATCACATGTGTAAAGCAATTCCGGATATTTAAAATAATGCTACTGATCAATTTGTGTTTGCTTGGTGTCTTGACCAAAGAGAGAGTTATATGACCAAAGAGAGAGTTATATATCCTATCTTCCATGCATGCAACACACATGTAAAATGCACACTGTCTTCAGTGTCATGAGTGTGGCAGGGACAGTAATAGAGAAGGGGTAAAACTTATATTCTTATCATTCAGAACAGGAAATGTCAGTTCTGATTTGCATTCCCATATGTTATGTTTCTTCAATTTTAAGGTATCATTGATTATATAACTCTTTTCAATGGGAAGTAAACTACCATTTTATTTATTTATTTTTTTAAGACTTTTAAAAAAATTTATTTATTTGACAGAGATCACAATCAGGCAGAGAGGCAGGCAGAGAGAGAGGAGGAAGGAGGCTCCCTGCCAAGCAAAGAGCCTGATGCGGGGCTCGATCCCAGGACGCTGGGATCATGACCTGAGCTGAAGGCAGAGGCTTTGACCCACTGAGCCACCCAGGCTCCCCTAAACTACCATTGTAAATGAACACATTTCATCAATGAACATTGATTTTTGAGACATTTTAATTTTAAATGTTAAAATATGAAAAAATGAACATTGTAGAATAAAGGAAATAAAGTATATTATATATTTTCCGTGTCTCCAGCTTTTTCTAGAAGTATAAACATGATAGTTTTCTTTATGAGCTGTTTTTTTTAAATAAGTTTTCAGGGCACCTTGGTGGCTCAGTTGATTGAGCATCCAGCTGTTGGTTTCAGCTCAGGTCATGATCTCAGGGTCATGAGATTGAGCCTCGCTTTGGGCTCCGTGCTCAGTAGGGAGGCGCTTTTCTCCTTTTCTCTGCCTCTGCCCCCCCACTGCAACATTTGTGCTGTTTTTCTCTCTCTAAAAAAAAATGTGTGTGTATGTATAAATCTTAAAAAAAAAAAAAAAGTTTCAGTTTATTTTTTCCCTTAAAATAATATCTGATTGCATTGGATCACACTGCTCTGATGAAGCCACTTTTACTTGATAGTCACAGGTTCTGCTGTCTTCTGTCCTAAGACATCTTTAGCTACTACCATGGAGTAGGGTCATTTAGGTAGATGATTAACAGAATCATACTCTGTACACATTTAACTTAACACAGATTTAACTGTATGAGTTGGGTCAAGAAATAAAAGGGGAAAAATAATAGCTTAAGTAGTATAGGTGACATAGTATAGGTGATAGCTACCTGTCATTTCACTCAGATAGCGTATAGGCCAGTGAACTCCTGCTTTGGAGTGGCTGAGTGAGAGGAAACACGTTGTTGGTCCCTCCCCTTATTTTGTTTCTAGGATGCCTTTTTTTCTTTGCCTTTTTTTTTTTTTTTTTTCAAAGTAGGCTGCATGTCCAATGTGGACTCCAAGGTGGGGCCCAAACACATGACTGGGAGATCAAGACCTGAGCTAAGATCAAGAGTTGGATGCCCAACCAGCTGAGCAACCTAGGCGCCCCAGGATGCTTCTTTTTTTTTTTTTTTAAGATTTTATTTATTCATTTGACAGACAGAGATCACAAGTAGGCAGAGAGAGAGGAGGAGGAAGCAGGCTTTCCGCGGAGCAGAGAGCCCGATGTGGGGCTCGATCCCAGGACACTGGGATCATGACCTGAGCCGAAGGCAGAGGCTTTAACCCACTGAGCCACCCAGGCGCCCCCCCAGGATGCTTCTTATACCACAAATATCTTGCAGTGCTTTATACTAGCATTTCAAGATATAATAGTATTTCTTTAACCATATGGCTCCTAAATATTTACTTTGGTGCTCAAATAAAGGAAACCACAATCTTTTCTGCAGTTAGATGCTCTGCCACTGAGCTATATCCCCTCACAATCTTTTCTGACAGTGGAGAGAACTTGGAGACATTATACTTCGGTTACTTTAAGAGATTATCAGTTTTTGTCAGTGTATTTATAACACGGAAAATTTAACATGATTGGAAACAATTTTTTTTAAGATTTTATTTATTTATTTGATAGAGATCACAAGTAGGCAGAGAGGCAGGCGGACAGAGAGGAGGAAGCAGGCTCCCTGCTGAGCAGAGAACCTGACTCAATCCCGGGACCCTGAGATCATGACCTGAGCGGAAGGCAGAGGCTTAATCCACTGAGCCACCCAGGCACCCCTGGAAACAATTTTTTTAATTAATCTTTTTTTTTTTTTAAAGATTTTATTTATTTGTCAGAGACTGAGAGCAAGCACAAGCAGGGAGTGGTAGAGGCAAAGGGGGAGCAAGGAACCCGACTTGGGATTTGATCCAGGACCCTAGGATTGTGACCTGAGTTGAGGGCAGATGCTTAACTGACTGAGCCACCCAAGCATCCCTGAAAACAAATTTTTTTTAATAAATCTCTTGAGATCAGTTAAATTGAGCCATTGATAAATTGATAGTCCTTTTTTGATGATGAGGGTAATTCACATGTACTGTTGAATTTTTTTAGTGTTTATTTATGATTTATAGAACAATTAGTTGGTTCAGAAATTTTTAAGATTTTATTTCAGAGAGAGTGAGCAAGTATGGGGGAGGGTAGGCAGAGGGAGAGAGAGAGGAAGAAAAGTAGGCTCCCCACTGAGCTGGGAGCCCAGTGATATGGGGATTGATCCTAAGACCCTGAGATCATGACCTGAGCCAAAAGCAGATGTTTAACTGACTAAGCCACCCATTTGCCCCCAGAAATTTTTTATGTTAAATTATGTTTTGATTTGTGCTTCCCTTTTATGCAGTTGTTTTATTTCTCTCTAAACAGATAAGCAATTTAAAGAAAATTTTAAAGGGAATCCTGGATTATAATCATGAGGTAAGGACTTTTTCTCACTCTGCTTTGAAGTATTACTATAGGATAATTTAATTTTACAATATTTTTCAATAGTTTCAAGTAAAGGAAAATTTACCCAAAATTTACCATTTATCTTCCACTGTATGGTTCTTAGGATGTTGGTTCAGACAGCTATCTATTAGGTAGGTAGTAGGTAAATGCTCTTTTTCATTGTAATATGGATAGTTTGTAGATGATTATTAATTTGTTATATTTCCTTTTCTGCCATCTGTTAACTCTTTTTTTCTCCCCTTGTGAAGGTGGTTTAGAATCCTGGTATCATTATAGCCAATTCCCTTGCTTACTTTAGTTTTATTTCTTGGCAGACCCTCATCCCTAGATTAATTCAATTTATCCTCTGAATCTAACATCAGAACAGTCAAGGCATACCTTGGGGGAAAAAATCAGGCAGTAGAACTAGTTTTACTTTAAATTTCATGATCACAGATGTCAAATGGACACAACATACCCTGGAAGCCCCACAATTTTATCTGCGTTTATACCTACATCTATACATAAATCATTTATCTTCACAACTCAGTAAGTGCTCCTGCCATCCACCCTATTACTCAAGCCCCTAACCTATAAATAATCCTATAGTCCTTCTTTGATATCATCATAAGACTTACTAGTTAAATCTCCAAAATAACAGCTTTTATTGTCTCTAACTGCTACCACCTTCTTTCAAGCCATCATTAGCTCTTGCTTAGATTTCTAGAGTAGTCTGACTGGTGACCCTGATTTCACCCTTGCCCCTCTACAGTCTGTTCTTATTCTTCACTCTAAAACCTGAATAATTTTTTTTTTAAGATTTTATTTTATTTATTTGACTGACAGAACACAAGTAGGCAGAGAGGCAGGCAGAGAGAGGGGAGGGGAAGCAGGTTTCCTGCTGAGCAAAGAGCCCAATGCAGGGCTGAATCCCAGAACCTGGGATCATGACCTGAGCTGAAGGCAGAGGCTTTAACCCACCAAGCCACCCAGGCCCCCTAAAAGCCTGAATAATATTTAAAAATATAAGTCTGATTATGCCACTTTTGCGTCTTTTATGGTTTCCTGTTGTATTAAGAATCAGATTCCTACCTATTACCATGAGCCACCAGACACTGCGTGACCTCTTTAACCTGTTTACCCATAATGCTAGAGCCATATTCATTCTGCTTTTGTGTTGTTGTTGTTGTTGTTTAAAAAAGATTTTATTTATTTGACAAAGAGAGGTCACAAGTAGGCAGGCAAGCAGAGAGAGGGGGAGGCAGGCTACCCGCTGAGCAGAGAGCCCAGTGCGGGCCTCGATCCCAGGACCCTGAGATCATGACCTGAGCCGAAGGCAGAGGCTTAACGCACTGAGCCACCCAGGCACCCTGGTTCTAGGTTTTTAGGATTTTCTTTTTTCACTGTATGCTTATAGGAACTTACCCTTGCATATATTTCATTTCATTTGGGGCCAGTTTCCCCATGAAGGAATCCTCCATTCTCCTTCCTGATATACGTGTTTGGCTATCAGCATTTTGGAGTCAAATGGAGTGAACATGTTTGCGGGGAATCTTACTGTTGGGTCATGAACATATATTTAATCTCCCCTCTTTCTGGTACCCCCTTGTTCAGGCTGTACTTTGAACTTCAGAGAAATTGTCTTTCTGGGGTGGTGAAGGGATCAAAGTACTCAGTTTCTTTGGTCAGTAGTGTACATACATACCAGATTGGGGTCTAAGTTGTGGTGATAGAGGTTGTTATGACTTAGGTATGAGAGATAAAAACAGAAATTGGGAGTGAAACTGACATAACAGCTCTGTCATTAGCAATGAGTTTCTGGTGCTGACAAAGTAATCTGTATCAAATATTTTATTTGGACATAAAATATAAGTGCAATTCTAATCCTGTTGTCTCCATTCAGATTTTAGGACAGCAAATTAATGACTTTACCCTTCCTGATGTGAATCTTATTGGAGAACATTCTGATGCGGCAGAGCTCGGAAGGATGCTTCAACTCATCTTAGGCTGTGCTGTGAATTGTGAACAGAAGCAAGGTAATTTATATGTTAGTGTATGCATTTAAGATAATTAAGGAAAGTAGTACATATTGTATATATTACATATAAATCACCAGTACAAACAATAATATCTTTGTAAGGCCATCCTCAAACAATGCCATTTTCTTTTTTTTCCCCCCAAAGTAGGCTCCACACCCAACATGGGGCTCCAACTCATGACTCTGAGAACTCAAGAGTTGTCCACAGTACCAAATGAGCCAGCCGGGTGCCCCAAACAATGCCATTTTCTATAATTTTTCTGGTACTTTGTTTGCAAGTGTAAGAGTTTTGCAATTTAGAATAAATTTGATTGTGATGATATTCTTTCCCTTTAAGCAAGACTACATAATTCTTTGAGTGGATTATTTTTAACGACACTGAATGTGATGAAATTTACTGTTAATTGGACAAGGTCCAGCTAAATTAACATCAGTAATAATGAGAAGGTTAAACTGGATCAATTCAGCTCTGGGCACTTAAAACTGGATACTTTAAATTACAAGTATGAAGGATTTATTTCACAAAATTTATTGAACTCATGCATTATGCCAGGGATAGGAGCGCAGTGCCACACAGAGCTGTGCGATCCGAGTGGTGATGAGTACTGTGAGGGTAAAGTGTAATGGGGGAGCCGGTCCAGGCATGGGCCAGGGAAGTTATTTAAGCAAAAATGGGGAGGAGGATAGACTAAGAGTAGTCTGAATAGTATGAACTGAATGTCAGAAAGACTTAGGTTATCTTTGAGAGGTTTAAAAAAAAAAAACACAAATATAATTAGAGAACAATGAGGAAGGGAAGAAGGGTGATGAAATAGAAAGGGACTATTCTAAATAATGATGACATAGTATTTTAACTATTATACTAGACTATGACCTTCATAGGAGACAGATTTTTTTTTTTAAGCCCAAAGATTTTTTTGTTAGTCCTTTTACCTCACCCCTGGTGATGTAAAATAGATTTTTGACTTGTCTATACATTTTAAGTGTTCTTGTGACAAGTTTAATAATGGTCAACATTGTTTTCTTGAAGCTATGACTAGTATTTGGTCTGTGATCTGAGTTATTTCTAACAATGTATTTCTCTTTGTCCCCATTCTTTTTAGATTTTTAGCATGCATGCTCTTAAAGTAAGTTTTAGTTTGCTTATTCAGTTCAACTCAAGAATTAAAGTAGAGAATTTTCTACATTTGTGAGTTTTGTATACTACTAAAATATCTAAACGTTTTTTGTCAAAGATTAGAAGATTCGTATAAATAAGATTCAAAACACATTAAATATCTAAGTAAATGCTTTGATTTTAAAAGGTGTATGAAAATTTATTTAATAAAGTTCACTGAACTCAAATAATGACCTCTTATATATTTATTCTTTTAAGAGAGTCATCACCTCTTGGAAGCAAAGCGCTATTAAGAGCTGGCTAATTGGATTTACCACAGGGTAGAATTAGGAGAACACGAGGATGTTACCTATATCCATAGTCCTATGGAAAACCAGACAATCCAGCTTCTCACACAGACCAGGTTTCTCCTGTAACACCTAGGTTTGGTTTCTCCCCTGAAATTGTTTATAAATGATGAAAACTTTGAACGGGGTTTTTAACATATTTATCCAGAGAGCAGTCTGTTTTCAGAAACATAGTTGAGAGCTAAGAATCAAAGTAAATGAATTCCTGAGTTCAGTATTACTTGTTACTGCACATTTCTGATGTATAATGTGAGGCTTACTAAAGATATTCCCTTTGCTACCTGACTGACATTGGACTAGGCACTCAGCCTGTTTCCTCATCTACAGAATGAGGATGCAAAACCTGGTGGTCATGAGGAATAAATGAAATATGCATATTTGCTTTGTAATCCGAAACACTACACAAATAAAAAAGGCCTTATGTTGGGTGCCTGGGTGGCTCAGTGGTTAAAGCCTCTGCCTTCGGCTCAGGTTATGATCTCGGGGTCCTGGGATTGAGTCACGCATCGGGCTCTCTGCTCTGCAGGGAGCCTGCCTCCTCCTCCTGTCTCTTTCTGCCTGCCTCTCTGCCTACTTGTGATCTGTCTGTCAAATTAAAAAAAAAAAAAAAAAAGGCCTTATGTTGAGATGAGTTTTCAATTACTGGAGGTAAGGAGTGATTGCTCAGAACATTGACCTAGGATACTTTTATCTTGGCCATCTGACTTCTCAAATTGGGGGAAATAAATGGTGCTAAAATTGGAAAAAGCAAAGATAAGTAGTAGAAAACACACTGAATTACTGAATGTCTCTCTTCTGCCCAGTACTCTACTAGCTACTAATAGAACAAAAAATACTTTTTACACATTAGGAAAACTAAGTATTCTATAACTTGCCCAGGATTTCTGGTTTGTGAAAAGCTACGCAAGGACAACAACCGATGTCTCTCCATGTTTAAACATCATACTCTTTATACTAATCTGCTATAAATTCTAGCCCTAAAAGCTAAGTTTTCAAGATAATCTTGCTGACCTAGCGTACCTCATTATCCAGCCTCATAAATCTGTACCCAATAATCGTATATACTTGTATTTTGGACACTAAAGATTTGTAAGGTTTTTGTTGTTTTTTTGTTTTGTTTTTTGGGTTTTGTTTTGTTTTGCTTTTTTGCTTTTCACAGATTGTACATTAACATAGTTCTCATCGTCATTTTACCATGTAGCATTTTACGGTGTTCGCGGGGAAGGGCCTTGACGTGGCAACACCGCTTCTTAACTAACGCTTCCCCTCTCACACCTAACTAACTTCCTAACCTCCCTGTTCCCACCGTTATTTTCTTCACTTCCAGTAGGCTGTCATTAAATTTTCCTTCCCCGTTATCAGTGCCACTGCTTTTTCTTTTCCATGTTCAGTCTTTTATTTCAAGAGCTGTTTAGTCATCCTAGCTGTACCATTTTCTCCAGCGTCTTGTGATTTTTTTGTTTCATACCTTTGAGCAGAATATCAAAAAGTACTCCTTTCTATTCCAAGACTTACAGGATGCTCCTTGTTAACAAAAAAAAAAAAAAAAAAACTGAGGGACACCTGGGTGGCTCAGTAGGTTAAGCACCTGCCTTCCACAGATCATGCATGATCCCAGGGTCCTGGGATTGAGTCCCACATCGGGCTCCTTGCTCAGCAGGGAGCCTGCTTCTCCCTCGGCCTGCTCTGCCTGTTCGGCCTGCAGCTCTCCATGCTTCTGCTTTCTCTCTGACAAATAAATAAAATCTTTAAAGAACAACAACAACAAAAAAAATTGAGCTCAGAATAAAGGATTTTTTTTTCCAAATAGTGGTTCTGATACATTCTTACTGTTATTCTAAGAAATGCCTGTGATTTAAGTGTGTTGTGTATATTTGTATATCACCACACATTTGATTGGGTAGAAGTATCCTTAGAACAACACTTGCTTAAAAATACGTTTTTGATTAACAAAAAGCTTTGGCATTAACAACCAGAATGTCAGAATTTAGTAGTGCTGCCAAAACACTGGTTTTTTTTTTTAATGAGATCCATCACGCAAAGCATTATACAGCTTGGCATTCCAAATAGATGACTCTTTTACCAAAAGATCACTTTAACAGTTTCACAGTGAGACTCCGTCATGTAATACTTGAAGTGCTGAGACAAGCTTCTGGTATATGTGTGGAGAGGTTTTTTTTTTGATGTATGGGAAGAGAGGCAGGTTGAGGCTAAAATTCCCTAATTACTTTACTCTTCTAAATGTTACTTATTAAAACATATTTACCATATTTGTTAGAACCCAGATGGCCTATTGATTTTTGTTTGTTTTGTTTAATGCCACTTTTTCATTCATTGTTGGATTTGCAAACAAGGAAAACTACTTCTAGTGCTTTTTCATAAGACAAGAAATTATCTTTTTCTACTGACATCTAAGAGATCCTTCTCTTTTTGGTAGTGGTGAGAGTAGAGTGATTAAGATTGATGAAGTTGGTACTTTAGCTTATTAGTGATGTGTGTATTTTAAAGTCCAGGATTATGCAGTATTTGTTTAATTATGATGTTACTTTCTATCTTAACTTCATCTTAATTCTTTGTCCTAAGCAGCTCTCAAGTTTATTAAGATTTTTCTATTCTGTAATAGAAAGTATTAAGGTAGGAATTGTACATGATGCAGTGCTTTGATGTCACACAAAAATAAAGCACAGACATCAGAGTTTTTTTTTAACCTGTAACAAAGTATATATATATGTAACAAAGAGACAGATAATTTTTAAATTTTAGGAATAGTAATAAGGAGTTCTTTCCATTCTGGCTTTAGGCTTTATTGTTTCATCGTCTAATATCCCTAAGAAGCTATATTCCTGTGACCTTTAGCTGTAGCCTCAACGTTGTAATGGTGATGGTGGTGGTGGTGGGCTTACCTTAAAGAAACAGAAATACTGTGATTTTCAGCCTTTACTTACCTGTGATGCATATAACATGAAGAATTCCTAGGAAGAATGAGAACACAGAAAACTACTTAAAAATTCATGAAGTGTGAGACTTTACTCCTTGAGTATCTTTAACTTGAACAGTGACATTCCAGATTGTTCTTATTTTCAGAGTACATCCAAGCCATTATGATGATGGAGGAATCTGTTCAACATGTTGTCATGACAGCCATTCAAGAGGTATGTCGGAGCTTTATGCTTACTGTTTGTGAGAAATTAAAGGAGCAAACTGGAATAGTAGATGTGGAAATTTTAAAAAGAGATTCTCCTCATTTTTTGAGAATTTTTTTCTTTGTACTTATGATATACTGTGCCTCGTTTTTATTAAAAAAAAATCATACATTTGAATTTCTCATTTGTATTTAAATCTTACACATTTGTCTTGTAGGTATATGTATTCAATAACTACTGAATATTACAATATTCAGTATTACAGTATTACAGTACTACTACTATTAAAAATTTTTAATTTTTAAAAATGCCCCAGTGAACTACAAATAGTAGACTATTTTGTCTATTGTAAATACGTATCTTAAACCAGCAGTCTACCTCACACTTAATTATTGGTTTCTTGTTTGGCAGAAGGTGGGTCTTCAACTCCAACCATACCCAAAGCTACTTCTAGATGAATATTTATACTGAAACTGTAGGGGAGGAAAAATACCTTTTTCTTCTACCCATCCCAAGTTCTCAGCTGAGACCTCTGTATCAAAGGACAGATGAATAAGGATACACGTGTATTTTAGTTTTTTACATGACATAGAGACCTTTTTAAGGAAACGAAGATGAAAAAAGTGTTTTTTATTTATTTTTTTCAAAGAAGTGTTTAAACTTGAGAGTTTTAGGGCTGAGTTTGATGAAGAATGGAGAATCATGGAAAAATGTGATAGGGCACACAAGGGTTTGAGCTAAGGATAGTAACCTGGGGGAAACAGCAATTCCTGTTGATTCAAGATTCTTTCAGAATCCTTCTATCTTTGGAGATAAGGATGCTTCTTTCCTTTGCTTTGAGTATAGGGAAGACACCTCTTACATGAGGATTTTATGACCTGCTTCAGGAGAAGGTAGAAAATCTATCCTGTATCTGCTCTTTCTCAGACTCCGTCAGCTTGAAGTGTTCAGTATGCCAAGGTGCCATACTTTGGGGTAGCATGTCATGAGCTCCATCAAAAGTGAGACATAAAACTATAAAAGTAAAAATAAAATGTAAGGTAATAACCAGTTGATTTCCGGATGTGAGGATGTTTTTAATCATGAAGGCAATGGAACAAACTGTTAGGGGTACTAGAGAACAGTATAGGACTTGAACATGCAACTGACAGAGAAAAAAAATACAACAGACAGCATGAAAAATGCTAAATGTCAGTTAAGTTGTATTTTTTAAGAAATCTGACCATCTGACTATAAATCCAGGAGTTCCCACCACCGCCCCCCCAGGGTTCTGACTCATAGAACCCAGGAATGATGACAGTATTATTATAGCAAGTGAATACAAACCAGAACCAAATCCGCCCCCCACCCCAAAAATGCATATAGTGAGGTCTAGGAAGTCCCAAATGCAGTTTCTGTTGTCCCCTCTCTGTGGAATCAAGACCTATCACACTCCCACCACATTACTGTGTGACAGTTCCAAAGTACTGCCAACTGTTAGGGCTCACCTGAGTTTTCATGTTTCCAAGTTTTTATTGGGGTTTCATTATGTAGGTGTGATTGATTGTATCAGTGACCTGGGGTTGAAGGCAGTTTCCAACACTCCTCCCCACAAAGTCAGACTGATTATGAAGTGGCTCAAAGACACAGTCCTCTGATACATGACTGGTTTTTCTGGCATGGCCAGCCCCCAATTTGATCATCCAATTTTTAGTTTTAACTACCTAGGACCCACAAATAACAAAGTTACTCTTATCAGGAAGGAAATACCAGAGATTGAGGGGCTGCTTGCCAGTAATAGGACAAAGGCCAGCCAAATTCCTTACTACAGGACCTTTCAAAAAAGCAAAGCTTTTGTTTTATTCATTTATTTTTTTAAAGATTTTATTTATTTATTTGACAGAGACACAGCGAGAGAGGGAACATAAGCAGGGGGAGTAGGAGAGGGAGAAGCAGGCTTCCCACGGAGCAGGGAACCCGATGTGGGGCTCTATCCCAGGACCCTGGGATTGTGACCTGAGCCAAAGGTGGATGCTTAATGACTAAGCCACCCAGGCACCCCCAAAAAGCAGAGCTTTTAAAAGACGATCAGTTTAGCAGTCAGCTCTGATGATAGGAAGATTAAACTGGTACATCTTTTTAAAAATATTATACTCTTGTATTATATGAGATATTAGGTCATGAGTGTTAAAATATCAAAATGATGATCTCTCAAGCAAGATAGAAGTTATTTTGCTCCTAAGTCCTCTTGGATTTTGCTCTGTAGTCATCAGGGACACAGCTTTCTTATTTCCTTAAGACATGTTTCCGACTTAGTGGTTCAGCTGTGGCTTCTCAGGTGCCAGCTATCACATTCCATTTCCAGCCATCAGGAAGGACTGAAGGAAGAGTTATCCACTTCCTCTAAATAAACTCAGTTCTCACCCGTGTTAACCAGATATTATCCATGGAGCCACACAGATAGTCCCAAAACCAGCCAAAATATGAGGAGTCTGTTACTCCAAAAATAAGAAAAAGAATAAGGGGCCACTAACAGTTCTGCCTTACTGTAATTGATCCTATAATTCTGTTTTTAGGAATTTATCCTAAGGAGATCTGAAATACAGAGATACAGTAATAGCAGACATTACGTCAAACCTACTATGTGCTAGATAGTGCTAGTACTTAATAAATACATTGTGTCTCTTAACTCATTTAAAATTCACAATTATAATTAATGCTACTGAAATGTAGACTTAAAATTATTAAATTGGCAAATTTTATGTTCTATATATTTTATCAAAAATTTATTTTATTTTTTATTTTATTTATATTACTTATTTTTTTAAACATTTTATTTATTTATATGACAGAGATCACAAGTAGGTGGAGAGGCAGGCAGAGAGAGAGGGGGAAGCAGGCTCCCCGCTGAGCAGAGAGTCCAATGTGGGGCTCAATCCCAGGACCCTGGGATCATGACTTGAGCCAAAGGCAGAGGCTTTAACCAACTGAGCCACTCAGGTGCCCTAATTTTATCAAAATTTTTTAAATGAAAAATTAATTTAATATTTTGAGGTATACAACTGTTATTGTCCCCAGTTTATTAAAGGGGAAACTGAAGCATAGACAGTGTGAGTAACCTCAAGTTCACACAAGAAGTAGCAGCAGAGTTAGAACTCAGATCTAAGCAGTCTGAGTTCAGAGCCCACGCCCGAACCATTATGCTGTATTGCCTCAAGATTTATTTCACATTATTTTCTAGTACGGAAACAGAAATAGCCTAACCACCTAAATTACAGTAGAATAATATATTGACCTATTAGGTAGCGTTAAAGTGAATTTCTGAAAAATACATAAAAATATGGGTAAGGCTTATTAGGGAAACAGGGCACATGAGCAATAAAATCCCATTTCTGTTTAAAATAGAAATTAAGATGAGTGAAAAATGACAAAATGTTAACCATCTCCAAATGGTTGGATATTCTGTGCTCTTTTCTGTATTTGCCAATTTTTCTATAATTATAGGTTTGTAATTATAATCAGGAATATTTTTAAAATTAAAATACATCGGGGCACCTGGGTGGCTCAGAGGGTTGAGCCTCTGCCTTTGGCTCAGGTCATGATCTCAGGGTCCTGGGATCGAGCCCCACATCTGGCTCTCTGCTTGCCACGGAACCTGCTTCCCCCTCTCTCTCTGCCTGCCTCTCTGCCTACTTGTGATCTCTGTCTGTCAAATAAATTTTAAAAATATTTTTAAAAAAAAAGAGGGGGTATAAAATTGCTAAAAATAAAAAAATAAAATGTCACCAAATGACTTTTAATTCTATGAATCTAGCCCAAGGAATTATTTAGAAATTCAGACCAAAATTGGACACAGCAGTGTTTATCAAACTATCTTACATAATTTTTTAAAGTTTATCTAAGTTAATCTCTACTAGACCCAGTGTGGGGCTTGAACTCACAACCCCAAGATCAAGAATCACATGCTCTTCCGAATGAGCCACCTAAGCACCTCCAAACTATTTTATTTTAATAGAAATATGACAACAGTGTGCACCCATTGGGAAGCAAGTGTTTAAACTAGGCTACCTCGATTTCATGGAGGTATAGTTGATAGTAATTTGTTTAAAAAAATTTTTTTAAGATTTTATTTATTTATTTATTGAGACAGAGTCAGGGCAGGGAGGGGCAGAAGGAAAGGGAGAAGCAGACTCCTTGATGAGCTGAGAGGCCAGTGTGGGCTAGATCCCAGGACCCTGAGATTATGACTTGAGCCAAAGGCAGACACTTGACCAACTGAGCCACCCAAGCACCCCTAAAAATTTTTTTTCTTGGGGCACATGGTTGGCACAGTCAGTTGAACATCTGACTCTTGATTTTGTCTCAGGTCATGTTCTCAGTGTCCTGAGACTTGACGTGACCTGAGAGAAAACCAAGGTCTGCTCCCATGGAGGCTCTGTGCTCACTCTCTCCCCTCCCTTTGTACCCCCCCCCCCCACACACATACACATTTTCTCTGCCTGTAAAATAAATAAATAAATACTTTTTTTTTTTTTTTTTTTTTTTTTTTTTAAAGTATCTTGTGACAAAAAGAAAGCACTTAAAATGTCAAGTGAGGGGCGCCTGGGTGGCTCAATTGGTTAAGTGCCTGCCTTGAGCTCAGGTCATAATCTCGGGGTCCCGGGATCAAGTCCTATGTCAGGTTCCCTGGTTGGTGGGGAACCTCGTTCTCCCTCTCTGTCTGCTGTTCCCTCTGCTTGTGCATGCTCTCTGTCTCTATCAAATAAATAAATAAAATCTTTAAAAAATAAATAAATAAAATCTTTAAAAAGAGTTGGAATATGTCAAGTGAATGAAGCAATACAGTTAGATGTCAGCAGTAGATTGTATGTCTTTTATGTGCATGTTCCTTCTATTCATTTAGCACATACTATCAAGCACCTACTATGCACCAGGAGCTATAGTAGGCATTCAGGATAAAATTATGAAAGAGGCAGACATGGTCTCTTGCCCCCACAAAATCTAAATTTCATGGGAGAAATGGCTAATCATGTAATTCACATACATTCAAAGCATTCAAAATGAAAAGTACCATGATGGGGAAAATACTAGGAGTACCTCAAAGGCGTAGCTAACTCAGTTTGGGGACTTAAGCAAAGGCTTCTCAGAGAAGGTGGCTTTTTTTTTTTTTTTTTTAAGATTTTATTTATTTTTTTGATAGAGATCACGAGTGGGCGGAGAGGCAGGCGGGGGTGGGGGTGGGTGGCGGGGAGACAGGCTCCCTGCTGAGCAGAGAGCCCTGATGTGGGGCTCCATCCCAGGACCCTGGGATCATGACCGGAGCTGAAGGCAGAGGCCTTAACCCACTGAGCCACCCAGGCACCCCAAGAAGGTGGCAACTTGACTGAGCATGGAAGGATGAGATGAGGTAAGGAAAGGGCAAAAATTGTTACCAAGTCTGGGAGGCAAGAGAAAGCAAGACTTATCTGGAATGTTGGTTACCCATAGCGACCATGGTGAGGTATAGCGAGTCCTTAGAAATGAAACAAGAGACCTAAAGTCATTAGAATATTGAGCAGTTTCATTTGGGAATTGGGATTTTGGAAATCAGTGAATAGATTTTAAGGAGAAAATACATTAAAGTCTTTATTTAAGAAAATGTATATGATGAGAAGAATGGTTTGGAGGAAAACCGGGCTAGAAAAAGGGAGATCACTTAAGAGACCTTAGTAATTAATATTTAATTACCAAGAATGAATGATGGAAGCCCGAACAAGTTTATGGCAGTCAGGGTGAAGACAGGTGCACAGATTTGGAAAATTATAGGAGCTTGAATCCATTGGATTGGTAACTGATGGGAGCAAGGGGAAGGAGGCAGGTGGGCGGGGAGGGAGTAGCTGGATAGAATAATGGAAATAAAAAGGGCTTCTTTAAAATGGTAGTCTTTTTTTTTTTTTTAAGGGTATATTCTGTTTATATTTCTTTATTCAGGTACTACTGACATTTATTTACTGTGATAAAATATGCATAACAAATATTTGCCATTAGTGACATTTAGTGTGTTCATAATGTTGTACAAACGTGGTGACTATTTTGTTCCACCTTTTTCCATCACCACAAAAGAAAACCCTTTTCATCCACTACATAGGCTGTTCTCATTTCCTCCTTTCTCTAGCCTATGTCAACCGGAAGTCTGCTTTCTCTATGAATTTCTCTATTCTCTATAAAATTCTCTATGAATTTCCATATTCTGGATATTTCATATAAATGGAATCATATGATATGTGGCCTTTTGTGTCTGTCTTTGTTCACTTAGCATGATACTTTCAAGGTTATTTTGTAGCACGTATTAATACTTGCTCCTTTTTATGGCTGAAAAATCCATTGTATGGGTGTGTAGCATTTTGTTTATTCTTAAGTTGAGGGACATTTGGGGTTGTTCCTACCTTATGGCTATTGTGAATAATGCTGTGAATATTAATATAAGGGTTTTGGCTTTTTTTTTAACATCCACTATTAATTCTTCTGGGCATATTGAAATTGAGTTTCTTGGTCATATGGTAATTATGTGTTTAACTCTTTTGAGAAAGCACCAACTTGTTTTCCACACATCCTGCAGCATTTTACATTCCTACCAGCAGTGTACTAGGATTGTTTTTTTCCACCTCTTTGCCAACCTTGTGAATGTCCTTTCTTTTTTTTTTTTTTTTTTTTTTTTTTTTTTTAAGATCTGTTCATTTATTTTAGAGCGTGCACAAGCAGGAGGGGCAGAGGGTGGGGGAGAGAGAGAAACTCAAGCAGATTCTGTCCTGAGTGTGGAGCCTGACCTGGGGCTCGATCCCAGGACCCTGACATCACAGCCTGAGCTGAGGAACCAAGAGTCGGACACTGAACTGACTATGCCATCTAGGCACCTCTGCCCATCCTTTTTGTAATAGCCATCCTACTAAAGAAGCTGAGAAGAGATTGGGTTAGGGAGCACACGTGGGATTAGCTTTCAAGGGAAAAGTAGCACTTGTCTTAAAACAAAATTGAAAAAGGAAAGTGTGGGCATGAATGTTGCCAATTTTGTAAATTAAGACATGGGAAATTCTTATTCGGAGATGAGGTTTTCTGATGAAGAATGCAGAGATTTGAAAAGTAAGAAAGGTTTAGAATAATCTATGGTGGAAGCATAATTGTACTTTTGGAGCAACTTTAAAGGCCCAGTTGAAATTAGAAACTATGTATTAATAGTGTGTTCTGATTTAAATTTTTGTTTGTTTTTTTACTCTCTCAGTGCTTAATAGTCTGGTGTATGGCCAGAAGAGATAGGTAGGTAGAATAATAATATACTGAGATTTTACCAGGAAGAAAGAATTGAAGATAAGAAAGTTGAGATATTGACAAAGGTCATCAACATAATAGACTGAAAAATCTGAACTAGAAAGTAGAAGGTAATTGGTTAAACAAATGGAGAACCATGGAACCCAAAGCAGGGGAGGGAAGTTCCCAAAAATAAGATGATATTGTTAACAGAAGAAGGAGGAGTAAATGTGAGCAGGCAAAAACAATAATGTTTAGTATAAAGTCTCAGCAGAGTAAGGAAGAAAATGAATATCAGAATGATGGAGTCTCACTAGAAGCCCAGGAGAAAGGAGGGAGGTGTAGGGCTTGGAGACCTCAAATTTAGGAGCACATAAATTAAACGTAATTGAATGAGAGACTAGGATTGAGAAAAGGTTGTATTCAGAGTGTAGGACACTTAGGTTTTTATTCGGAGTTGTTGCTGTATTATGATATTATGTATTATGGGACTATTTTTTGTTGGAAGAAGTCTCAAAAATCTTATGATTAATACTGTCATGAGGAAAGCATAAACATTGAAGCCAGTGTTTTTTACTCTTCCTGAGATTTTTTTTTTCCCCTAATTATGCTGAGGGACTTTGAACTCTTCTCATCCCATTAATATAGAGCAGTGATTCTCAAACTTCAGTATGTATTAGAGTCACCCAGAGGACTTTATTAAATATGTTGCTGAGCCCTAGCAGCCCCCCTCCCCTCCCCAGTTTCTGAGTCAGTAGACCTGGGCTGGGACCCAGTAATTTGCATTTCTGAAGAGTTTCTAGGCAACACTGATGGTTTGAGAACTTCACTTTGAGAATCACTGATAAGGAGAAAAAAAAGTACAGCTGAACATAACAATTTTCTGATCTCTCAAAGAGTGTTACTGAAGGCTGATATTACAAGATCTCTCTCAACAGTGCATCCCCACATTTCAAATTGTCCCCCTTTTGTTTGTCCCTCAACATAAGAAGGAAAGAGTAGAAAATTGGGACCATTTGAGTCTGCCCCTGACATTTGTCACAATCAGAAATTTATCCCCTTCACCCCCAAACCCTCACATGTTATATGGCTCCTCTCTCTGCAACACCAGGGTGAGTGTGTGTGTGTGTGTGTGTGTGTGTGTATGTATGTGTGTGATAAACATCAGCCAGTTCATTTTGGCTAATACTGATATTGCCCATATTTATTTTTTAGATAGAGTTACATCAGTGTTGCTGTTTTTTTACTGAGAAGTCATTTTTTAAATACTTAGCCACTTTTTTAACCTAAAGATTTGTCTTGATTCTTATGACTGCCCTTACAGTGAAAATGAGCACCAGAATTTAGACCTGTAATTTTAAATGGAGGCATTATCCTGGGATAAAAAAGATTTTAGACTGAAAATGTATAGGAAAATGTTCCTCTTACATTTGTGTCTTCATTTTAATTTTTATAATTCTGTGGTGGCCGGGTGTTCATGTTGTCTAAGTGTATTTTATATGATGTCATTTTTGCCTCATAGTTACAATCATTTAAATCTTAATTTCAGCTGATGAGTAAGGAATCACCTGTCTCTGCTGGAAATGATGCCTATGTTGACCTTGATCGCCAGGTATCTAATTTTGCATTGTTTTATCCATGTAGCGATTGAAAAGAATAAACTTTAGATACTAATGAAAAGAATGTTTCAGTTGGATTTGCTTATAGAGTATGTTGGTTTAATTATTTGTTTTTTTTTTTTAAGTTTAAGACTTAAGCTATTTTACTAGTGGATATTATGCATTTGTAATTAAATTTATAATTTATGATTAAAATATTATATGATCCACTTTAAAATAAATTTAAGTCATTGTAATTCATGTTTTCTAGTCGTGATTTTTTTTCTTCCCATTGATGATATCTTTCTGTATGCCACATTTAGCACAATAGATGCATTCTTGGCAAGTGGCATGCGTTTTACTCTTATGATTTACTTATAATACACAATACCTTTTATTTCACATGAGTCTTCCATGGCAGATGTCTCCTCCACCCTTCATCTTTGTGAGGGAATAGTCAGTAGATATTTAAATGCACCAAGGAACCTACTATATTCTTAAAGGAACTCTGTCTGCAGTACATTCTTGCAGTTTTAGCCAAAAACTTATTTTGTAATTTTAATTACTGCTTTGCAATAAAATACTACAACTTACATTGTCAGTTTCTTTCTTTTTTTTTTTTTTAAAGATTTTATTTATTTGACAGATATCACAAGTAGGCAGAGAGGCAGGCAGAGAGAGGAGGAAGCAGGCTTCCTGCTGAGCAGAGAGCCCGATGTGGGGCTCGATCCCAGGACCCTGGGATCATGACCCAAGCCGAAGAGGCTTTAACCCACTGAGCCACCCAGGAGCCCCACATTGTCAGTTTCTATATTCCATCTGTCCTGGGACATCTTTTCCAAAGTGTAAACAGAAATCTTTGTGTTATCCTCTCTCATTTCTTCCCATTGGTTTCTAAATGTTTTGTAGGAAAATCTTTGGTCATGGTATAATTTTTTTTTTTTAAAGATTTTATTTATTTATTTGAAGATCACAAGTAGGCAGAGAAGCAGGCAGAGAGAGAGAGGAAAGCAGTCTCCCCGCTGAGCAGAGGGCCCGATACGGGGCTTGATCCCAGGACCCTGGGACCATGACCTGAGCGGAAGGCAGAGGCTTTATCCCACTGAGCCACCCAGGCGCCCCTGGTCATGATAACAATTTTAACTCGAGTTATAATTTGCTTCCCTTACTTTGTGATGTTAGATTTTAAAGTTGCAGCCTTTTATGGATTTTTTTTTTTTAAATCTGTGTTACACAGGTGAGGTCACATGAATGGAAAAGCTAGTATAATTTTTAATCAACTTTTTTTAATTAATCAATTTTAATTAATTTGTTCTTGCTTTGCTAACCTAGGGTTTATGGGACACAACTCAGAAATGTTTGGTTTGTGTTGAGAATCAGAATAATAAAAATATTTTTTAAAACTGTGTTACACAAAATAACATAAAAGTGTAATATGCTTGAAGATTTTGTGTTGAAATACTTCTGGCTATATATTTCAACAATTGAAACCCCCATCCTCTAGCACATACATATTTTATCAAGGGAAAATTTTTCAGTTATTACAGAATTAACATTACCAAGAATCATGTAGCCCAGACAGGAAGAAAACTTGTGTAAGAAAACTTGGTAAGAGGAAAGAACCAGATTCAGTACAGAAAAGACAAGACTTAACAACTAGAAGATACTCAAAGTTAGAAATGGCTGGTTTTGACTCTTCACAAGAGTTCTCAATTTCTCCCAGCCCCTCAGAAAGAAATGAGAGGAAAGTGTTCTAATTCTTTATTGTGCCTATGTAATTATTGTTTCTATTCATATTGAAATGTTTATTGCATCTCTTTGTTTCTAACTAGTTGAAGAAAACTACAGAGGAACTAAATGAAGCTTTGTCAGCAAAGGAAGAAATTGCTCAAAGGTGCCATGAGTTGGATATGCAGGTAAGAGATGTTTTCTGTGTGCTACCTGTTTGAAATGCACCACTGTAAGCAACACCAAACGTGCTGTGTATTACCATACAGTATTGTTGGGTTATCATGCAACCCTAATTGAAAAAAAAGGGGAAAAAACAGATTTGTGGTTAAAGATAGTAGACTCATCAAATATATTAATTTTCTTTACTTCCGGGAGCCCCATTAAATTTAGAATAAATGAATGAATGGTATAACACAAGAAAAGAAAGGGGGGCTATCTGTGCTAGCTTTAGGGAGGGGTGGGGGAGATTTTTTTTTTAAAGCGCTCATTTGTAGTGTTTGCCAGTATCCATAGTAGATACTCATAATACACAGAAAGGCCAACTTTTTGTAGATAAGCCCTAATGTGAAGTTCATGAATGCACAGCTTACAGTTACCCTTGCTTTGACTACTTCATTAAGGAAAGTCTGCATTACAAAAGAGAAAAGGAGGAAGATAAACAGGAAGATAGTCCTAGAGGAAGTGGAGAAATTTGGGATAGTAGCAGAGATTAATCTTTTTAATCTATTTAATACTCTCAGTGAAATTAGTAAAGATATTCCATCTGGGACATGATGCTAAAATCAGAAATCAAACACTTAAGTAAATTAAAAATAGAATTGTTAAAGTGAAAAACTTAACAGGATAGTTAAAGTGTATAGGAAATCTCTCACAATTAAAAAGAGTAAAAAATTATTTAGGATTTACCTCAAAATTAGATCAGGGCATGGACAGAAAGGTACAAATACATAATTGGCCATGTTTTGATACTTGTTAAAGCTGGGTCATGACTACACAGAGTTCATAATATTTTATAATAGAAGAATTTTACGTTGAAAGGCAGAGGTGTTGGTCATAGCTTTGGATGCACATAGGAGGAAGTATAATCAGAGCACACTTGCTGGGTCATACAGTAAATGATATTTATCTAGTCACAGTGTAAGTGCCATTAATTGCTTTTCCAAATTTTTAAAAAACTTAACTCTACACAAATGCTAAGATTAATTATAATAATAAATAAGAGATGATGGTTTTTATGACTAGAATATAAACATTATCTTTGATAAACTTTGGCAAACTATAGCCCTATGATACACTTAGCTCTGCAGAAAACAGTAGTGACCCACTTGATAATGTGATCTCTAAAGTAATAATACAAACCAATTTCAACATTTAGAATTGTCCTGTAGAGAAATGTTATTGCACAAGTGACAGCAGTAGATGAGGACAGGAGACATGAAGGAAAGATAGGGTCACTAATGTTCTTGCCAAAAGGGAGTCAGGAACCACTTCTGTTGGCACAACACCCATTACATGGCTGGTTCCTTCTAGACATCCAGAGTCAGCTCAAAATTACCTGACTGATTTGTCATAAAATACTTACTGGACACTGAGATATGCCCAGGATAAAGTTAGGCCTCCTGGGAAGGCCTTCCGTGATCATGTAGTCCCTGCCCCATATCGTAGGCACACAGTGAACATGTGAGTGAGTGAATGAATGGGTAGGGGATTGAGTGAAAAGAGTAAGTACTTGTTTAAGATTGCAGAGATGAGGGGCACCCGGGTGACTCAGTGGGTTAAGCTTCTGCCTTCAGCTCAGGTCGTGATCTCAGGGTCCTGGAATCGAGTTCCGCATCAGGCTCTCTGCTAGGGAAAGAGCCTGCTTCCTCCTCTTCTCTCTCTCTCTCTGCCTACTTGTGATCTCTCTCTGTCAAATAAATAAAATCTAAAAAAAAAAAAAAAAAAAAAAAGGATTGCAGAGATGACCAGACAGGGAAACAAGAATAGTGATATAATTGTATTTGTGGAAAGGAAGGATGACACAAGTAGCTATAGTTTAACCTGTCAAAGGAGTCACTAGACAATGTTTAAGATTGGTAAATCGAGAAATGGTGGTGTAAAACATTTAGAGATATAAAATAACAGCCAAAAACAGTAAAGTTTGGAATAGTTAAAATTAGTTGTCTCTTGGAAGTAGAAAAACTCAACAGAAAACTAACTTTTTATTATAAGCCCCTTTTTCTTGTCTGATTTTTTTTTTTCTTAAATCATGTTTGTGTATTATTTTTCAGTACAAGCATATCTCAGAGTTATCGTGGGTTTGGATTGCTGAAGGGAATGTTGTGTCTGGTTTGATCTCTTCAGACCACTAAAACTTTCTCTGTGTCAGCAATAAGGCTGTCTGTCTGTCTTACCATTTCACGTTCACTGGAATAGCTTTAAACGTTTCATTTCCTTCAAGAACTTTTCCTTTGCATTCATAATTTGGCTAAACTGATACAAAAAGCCTGTCTCAGCTTTCAGCTGTCTTAGCTTTAAGTCCGTCTCAGCTTTCAACATGCCTTCCTCACTAAGCTTAATCATTTCTGGCTTTTGATTTAAAATGAGAGATGTATAACTTTTTACTTGAATACTTAACAGTGCATTGTAGGGTTATTAATTGGCCTAATTTCAATATCATTGTGTCTCAGGTTATAGGGAGGCCTGAGGAGAGAGGCCAGTGGGGAAAGGAACAGCTGGTTGGTGAAGCAGTGAGAACATACTCAAAAGTTATCAGTTAAATTCACCATCTTATATGGGGACATTTTGTGGCACCCCAAGGCAGTTACAATAGTAGTATCAAAGATCACAGATCACCATACAATCATAAGGGAAAAGTTTAAAATATTGCAAAAATTATCAAAATGTGGGGTGTCTGGGTGGCTCAGTGGGTTAAGGCCTCTGCCTTCGGCTCGGGTCATGATCTCGGGATCCTGGGATTGAGCCCCACATCGGGCTCTCTGCTCAGCGGGGAGCCTGTTTCCTCTCTCTCTCTGCCTGCTTGTGATCTCTGTCTACCAAATAAATAAATAAATCTTAAAAAAAAAAATTATCAAAATGTAACAGAGACAGGAAGTGAGCAAATGCTATTGGGAAAATGGTGCCTGTAGACTTGACTTGGTTGCCACGAACCTTCAGTTTGTAAAAATTGCAATACTGAGATGTGCAATAAAATGAGGTATGCCTGTGGTCTCCTTTTTCTGTATGTGTGAAAAAGACTTCTGCCAATTATATAGGCATACCTCTTTTTTTAAAAAAGGATTAAAGAGCAGAAATGAGTGAAATGGGCCCGTGGCACAGGATGGAGCCACTGCTGTCTTCTGAGAAGAGACCCATGCATTTATGGAAATCTGACAAATTAAAGAGCTGGCATTTTAGCTTCATTTATTCAACAAACATTACCAAGTACCCACAGAACAGAGTGTGTGAAGTGGAAATCAGTCTGGAGAGGCCCTATAAGCCTTTGTAATGATTTTAACTTTGAGTAAATAGGAATCCAGTAGAACATTTGAGCAAAGTAGTCATGTGGTCTGCATTTTGTTTTGATGGACTATGGGGCTGCTGTATGGAGAACAGACTAAAAGGAGGCAAGGGCCAAATTTAGACTAATTAAGAAGTCATTGCAGTTATTGCATCCAGGCAAAAAAAAATTATGTTGGATTAGATCGGAATTTTGCCTGGTAAGTGGTAAAAATGTGTGTGAAAAGTGATATTTGCTGACAGATTGGATGTGGGTATGAGATTAAAGATGTTAAGGCTTATGACTGAGCAACTAGAAGGGTAGAGTTAACTTTCCACCAAAATGGGAAAGACTGGAAGAACTGGGGAGTGAGGAGTAATTAATTGGACAATTTAAGTTTGAGATGCCTTTTAGACATGCACATGGAAATGATACCCAGTTTAGGGTTCCAGTTGAGAAATAGAAATGTGTGAGTTGTCACTGAATAGATGATGTTTATAGCCATGAAACTGGAAGCCATCACTGCATGTAGAGAAGAAAGCTGTAGGACACTCTGATGGCAGAGAAATTGAGAGGAATTGACTAAGGAGAAAGAGAAGCCTGGTCGGTTGGGTCCAGAAAGCCCAAGAGTAAGGTGTCCTGTCAGCCAAGTGAAGAAACTGTTTCAGGTAGGAGAATGTGATGGGTTGTGGCATATGTTGATTGTTTGCGGTGACATGGAAGTGTCCATAGTGATCCTGATGAGCAGTTCTGTGGAATGGTAGGGCTAGTAGCCCAACCAGAACTAGTTCAGGGGAAAGTGGGGGGTGGCAGGTAAGAATTAGAAATGGCAGGTGGCTTTTGTTTTTACAGCTTTATTGAGCTGTAATTAACACATAAACTGTTCATATTTAAAATGTACAATTTTCATGCATGTTGATTTATATATGAATGTGTAAAAACGTTACCACAATTAATATAATGAGCCCATCACCCTCAAAAGTTTCCTCATGACTTTGTATTCCCCCTCCAGTCCCCAGCTCTGCCTTGTCACTATAGATTAGTTCATATCTTCTAGAATTGCGTATAAAAAGAATCATACAGGGCGCCTGGGTGGCTCAGTGGGTTAAGCCGCTGCCTTCGGCTCAGGTCATGATCTCAGGGTCCTGGGATCGAGTCCCACATCGGGCTCTCTGCTCGGCAGGGAGCCTGCTTCTCTCTCTCTCTGCCTGCCTCTCTGTCTACTTGTGATCTCTCTCTGTCAAATAAATAAATAAAATCTTTAAAAAAAACAAAAAAAAAAGAATCATACATTATTTATACTTATTTTTCATCTGAGTTCATTATTTTTGACAGTATCAATAGTTAATTCTTTTTTTTTAATTGCCGAATAGTGTTCTATTATATGAATATATTAGAATTTTTCCATTCACCTGTTGATGAACATTTGTGTTGTTTCTCGTTTTTCTCTACCACAAGCAAAACTGCTATTAACATTCTTTATAAGTCTTTGTATGGGCCCCGTGCTTTTATTTCTCTTGAGTTCGTAAATACTGACTGGGTAGTTGCACGTTTAATTTTTTTTTTTTTGGTAATGCAAAGCTGTTTTCCAAAGTGCTTGAAACATTTTACATTCTCACCAGAGATGTATGAGACTTCCATTTGTTCTACATCTTCAGAGGCACCTGGGTGGCTCAGTCCATTAAGCATCTGACTCTTGATCCCAGCTCAGGGCATGATCTCAGGGTCATGAGTTCAAGCCCTATGTTGGGCTCCACGTGGAGCCTACTTCAGAAAAGTTCTATATCTTTCCCAAAACTTGGTATAGCAATATTTTTTGTTTGAGCCATTCCAGTAGGAGTGTATGAGTATAACATTGTGGTTTTCATTTGCAATTCCTTAATGATTAATCATGAGTATCCTTTTGTGTGCTTAGTTGCCATTTACATATCTTATTTGGTGAACTATATTTTCAGATATAAAGAATGAATTCTTGCTTACTCTTACAATATTGCTCTGCCTGTGCAATATTCCAAAGAAATGTTACAGTTGTAAGGGAAAGTTGATTAAAACAGGCTTTCTAATGGTAATTCACAAAGTGATTATGCTGATCCCAGTGTAATTAGAAGAAATAATTGCTGTCTTCCTATATGCTAACAGGTTGCAGCATTGCAAGAGGAGAAAAGTAGTCTCTTGGCAGAGAATCAGGTATTAATGGAAAGACTTAATCAATCTGATTCTATAGAAGATCCTAACAGTCCTGCAGGAAGAAGGCATCTGCAGCTCCAAACTCAGCTGGAACAACTCCAAGAAGAAACATTCAGGTAAAAGACCTTACTAAAGTCTAATTTTTAAGATTTGGTTAACTATCTTTTAATGTTAAAAATGTAGTGTTAGGGCTTTTGGATAGCTACAGACCAAGGAGGATGTGAAATAAACAACTTCCCCCAAATCTTACCACATGACACACAGTAACTTCACATCTAGGAAAAATTCTATCAAAGCTATACCCTTGGCGGCACCAGGGTGGCACAGTCGGTTTAGTGTCCAGTTCTTGGTTTCAGCTCAAGTCACGATCTCAGGGTCGTGAGATCGAGCCCCATATTAGGCGCTGCACTGGGCATAGAGCCTGCTTGGGATTCCCTCTCTCCCTTTCCCTCTGCCCCCACTCCCCGCCTCAAATAAATAAATAAATCTTTTTAAAAAACAAAACCAAAAACAAAAAAAACTACATGCTCATTATTACCTGAAGACAGAATGCCTCAACTGAAATAAAACTGTGAAGAAAACACACATGAGCCACACATCCCACACACTGTCCCACCCCATCCTACTCGGTGCTTTGAGGCAAGTAAAGGCAGACTGACAAAAAAATTAGAGGAAGACAGAAAAACACTAGTGAAGGGGGCCTGAGGGTGAGTTGGAGAGACTAAAAGATTAAATTCACCGAACTACTTTTAAAATAAAAGAAGATTGGATTACAGACTGGGGAAATACCATAATTAAGCACATCATCTTAAAGGACCAGACTCCATAAAAACATAGAGGTACTGAATTTAAAGAGATTGGTGCCCTTTGCAGACACTTGGTTTAAAGAGACACAGTATAAATGCCAGGTGCCTGATTTATAGAGTAAGACTTATTTAAAAGGCAACCTGATTTAAAGGGACAGTCTTCTAAACACATCTTGGAGAGGAAAAGGGCAAAAGGAAGGAAAAATGACAGTTTGGCAGTTGGATGGTGAAAGGGAAAAGAAGAAAAGGAAAAAATTGGTGTCCTGCCAGACAAAACAGAACCACAAAATTGAAGGGCTTAGCAGTAAGAAATAGAATATTTTGTATTCACAGGAAAGAATAAAAATGATTAAGTCTTCTCTAAAACTTCAGAAATAGTCTACCCCCTATGATCTACATCAGCAGTTCAAGACTTGGTCTAAGGACCTCTTCGGTTCCCTGAGACCCTTTCAGAGAGTCTTCCAGACCCCTCTTTTCTAACTACATATCTGTGCGATGGTGGATTTCCTTCATAGAGTTCAGCCAGAAAGCCATCACTACAGATGAATATAGAAATAGATCTGACAATCCAGCTCTTTTTTTTTTCAGCCATCTTCTGTTAAACTGGATTATTTGAATCATAAAAGTATAAAATATTACCACTCTTCTCACTTTTTGATTTAGAATATAGTTATTTTTCATAAACTGTGTTGTTTATATAGTGGATTTATTACTGATAATTTTCAGTGTATTTAGATGTTTGTTTTAATTTCTCAATATGACAAATAAACATCAATAGATAAAACTTATATAAACAAAAGTTCTTTGCAATTTCTGTAATTTTAGGAGTGCAAAGGAAGCCAAAAAGTTTTGAGTACCCTTCATCTGCATCTTGACTTTTTATTTTTTTAAAAGATTTTATTTTTATTTATTTTTGAGAGAGAGAGAGAGCGCACGAGCTGGGGGAAGGGGCAGAGGGAGAAGCAGACTCCCCGCTGAGCAGGGAGCCCGACGTTGGACTCTATCCCAGGACCCTGGGATCATGACCTGAGCCGAAGGCAGACACTTAACCGACTGAGTCAACCAGGTGCCCTGCATCTTGACTTTCTAAGACAGAATCAGAAGATAGTAAAATTTAAGTATGACTGTACCTTTTTGTTTCTTTTTTCCCCCCCTACCCTTTTGTTTCTAAATTGTGGCTAGGTTTTTAAAGTATGGTTTGAGGAAGTGGTATTTAGAAATATCCTGTCCTTCATTGTAAAGGAAATAGTGTCTAAAGCTTTTATCATTGCAGTACATACTGCAATTTATATTTTGAAGCACTTAAACAATTCAGGTACTGTATCAGTACTGCATATTTGTGTATCTCAGTATGTATTAATTTTTTTTGAGAGAGAGAGAGAGAGCTCTTGTATAAGTGCGACAGAGAGGGAGAGAGTGTGGAGCCCAATATGAGCCTGGATCTCATGACCCTAGGATCATGACCTGAGCTGAAATCAAGAGTCGGTTACTTAACCGAAAGAGCCACTCAGGCGCCCCTCAGTGTTTATTATTCTTTATAGTCAGATAAAATGCTTCTGGCTGATCTTTATTATGACCTTCTACCTTTAATTTCTTTCCCTTTTTTTTGAACTTCAGTAGCTTTTAAAGATTTAAGTCTCATAGTTCATTTTTAATTACAAAAGGAACAATATACCTTTTTATTGGTGAGATCTGGCAGTTACCATTTTAACCAACTCATCAAACTTAGCACCATCCACATTGTACCCAGTGCTATGTAGTATTTGTGCCAAATATTTAACCTGAATGTAATCACGAAGAAATAATCAGAATAAGGAATATCCTTAAAGATGGCTAAGACTAATCGAAAAAGTCAAAGTTATAAAAACAAAAGGAGGGAAAGACAAAGATTAAAGATAATTTGAAAATTATTGGATCCTGGATTAGGGTGGGGAGAGGGAACTATAAGACATTTTTACCACAGTTAGTGAAATTTAAATATGGACTATCTATTAGATAATATTATTAAATTAACATTAGTTGTCTTAGATACAAAGACAGTATTATGATGATGTATGAAAGATTGTCCTTCTTGCTGAGGTATTTATTAGGAGTGAAGGGTCATGACCTCTGCAGCTTCCTTTTGAATAGTTCTCTAAAAAACATATGTGAGTTTGTTTTCTTAAGCAAATGAAAGTATGTGAAACAAAATGTTAATAGTAGGTGAATCTGGCAAAGGATATGCAGATTTTCATTGATCTGCCTTTCCAATTGTCATAGATTTCAGTTACTTAAAAATAAAGAGTTGGGGAGGGTTTTCCAAACAGTGTTAACAGCTGACGCATAAGCATTTGCTTCCAGTTTTCCCTCCCTTACATCAACATCAACAAAAATAATTTTAAGAAAAGAAAAATCCTAACATCAAAAAAAAGGAGTACTGACATCTCATTTATGAATTTTTTTTTAAATAATCCTAACTAAAACAATAGCAAATTCAATACAGTACTATATTAAAATAAACTTTATCCCAGGATTGTTAACCTGTCAAATATTGTTGTCTATTACAATAACTATTAAATTTATTATTTTAGTTCCTTCAATCCATAAGTTAAAGGACAAGGAATAGTATAAAATAAGCTTGGTATATAAAATTCTCAGTAAAGTTAAGAACAAGAAGAGGATGAGTATTAATCTAATACTTGACTTTTTCCTAGACATTCTATAAATCCTGGCTTTGCCACTTAGTATTTCTGTAACCTTGGGCATGCCTCCATTTCATCCACTATAAAATAGTCTTAATAATTACCTACCTTCGGGGCACCTGCGTGGCTCGGTGGGTTAAAGCCTCTGCCTTGGGCTCAGGTCATGATCCCAGGGTCCTAGGATGGAGCCCCACATCAGGCTCTCTGCTCAGCAGGGAGTCTGCTTCCTCGTCTCTCATCTCTCTCTGCCAGCCTCTCTGCTTACTTGTGATCTCTGTCAAATAAATAAATAAAATCTTTAAAAAATAAAAATAAAAAATAATTACCTACTTTCTAGAAATTTTTAGTATTAAATGAGTTAACATATGTAAAGTGCTGAGAGTATTGCCTGGCACATATAATTTAGTTATTACTTTTCTAGAAAATGAAACAGAAATGACATAAACATTTTGGAATGACCAAAAACAAATGATCATTAAATGTAATCATTAAAATCATTAAAAGTAATAGGCTCGTCCACCTAGAAAATGTTAAGTGAATCAACTGAAAAGTTCTCAGAACCAGTAAACAGTTAATGGGGAGAGGGTAACTATAAGACATTTGTATAGGTCATAAGGTTTTCTATCAGTAACTGGTTATCATCAGGAAAAATTTGGCATTTATAAATACATAAGTATTCAAAGAATAAAATTCAAAAGAAATATGAGGGACTTACATGATGGAAACTTCTGTTATACATAGAAATTACTTAAATATATGGGGAGAGATAACATGTTAACATGTTTTGTTTGTTTTCATGTTTTTAATGAAAGATTGTAAGAATGCCATTTTCTCTTAAATTATTATATAATGTGAACCCAATTCCAATTTAAATTTTATTTTCACCTGGACATATTGATGACCAAGAGGTTCCCAGAACATTTACACACAAAGTATAATAAAGGAGTACTTTCCATGTCCAGTGTTGAAATGTTTATTTCTCTACTAATTTTAAAAGCTTGGTACTGGTGCAGCAAAATACAGACAAACTAGTAACACAAGCAAAGATCCAGAAACCAACCCAAGTGTATATAAAAATGTGTAATCAAGGCAGCATTTTTTTAATCAATAGGTAAAGGTTAAATTATTTGTTAAATGATTTTGGAGTCGTGGGTAGATATTTTGGCAGGAAAAGTTAGATTTCTACATTATATCATATAATAAAATGAATTCAAGGGGAAATGAGAATTTCATTGTTAAAAATGAAACTATGTAAATCCTAACAGAAAATATAGAATAAAAGAAAAAATCTTTAATCATACACTTAAAGTGGAAACCATAAAGTACAAAATTCATCAATAGAATTACATAAAAATTGGTATTTCTGTTACATTAAGAATTATATAAATTTCTGTTAACATTAAGGATTATATAAATTAAATTGAAAGTAATCAAAAATAAATATTTGTGACATGACAGTCTTGTAAATCAAAAGGAAGGCTTTATGTTAAGCAAAGTAAAGTAAGAAGTAGGAATAGTATTATCCATACTTAGAGGGAAAAGATCTATGAATAGCAACCGGCCTAGAGGATACACTCAAAAATGTTAACAGTATGCTCTATTTAGATCAGTACATGATTTTTATCTTCTTTTTTTTTTTTTTTTTGAGATTATTTATTTATTTATTTGACAGAGAGAGAGAGATCACAAGTAGATGGAGAGGCAGGCAGAGAGAGAGGGAAGCAGGCTCCTTGCTGAGTGGAGAACCTGATGCGGGACTCGATCCCAGGACTCTGAGATCATGACCTGAGCCGAAGGCAGCGGCTTAACCCACTGAGCCACCCAGGCGCCCCTGATTTTTATCTTCTTTGCTTTTCTATATTTTGTAAATTTTCAACAAGGAACATATGTTAATTTCATAGTAAAAAAAATAAAGCTTTAAATGAATTACGTGTGCTGTCTTTTGAGAAATATTTCTTGACATCCAATTTTTTGAATAGAGGAGTGGTGATCAGTTGTAAGTTTCCGCAAGCCTTGGACCAGTGGAATCTGTTTTCAGGACAGTTAAAACTTAGAGATAGAGTTTATGGTCACAGAAGATTCAAGAGTTTATTCTCGTGTTTTTATTTCCTTTTATCGTTCAAAGGAGAATTGCTAGACAATAAATAGTACTTTCTTGGTCTATTTTGTTTTGGTTACAGACTAGAAGCAGCCAAAGATGATTATCGTATACGCTGTGAAGAGTTAGAAAAGGAAATCTCTGAACTTCGGCAACAGAATGATGAACTGACCACTTTGGCAGATGAAGCTCAGTCTCTAAAAGATGAAATAGATGTTCTTAGGTAAACGGTCTTCCCATCTTGTTACAATCTCGGGCCTGTCATCACCCAGAACACCTCTACCAATGATGTTACAAACTCTAGGATCTCTGAACACAGCATGGTGTTTAAGAGGACTTAACCCTACTGGACAACCTGAGTTCAGATTCAGATTTGTTTAATCTCTATGTAACCCTTTTCTCATCTGTAAAATGGAGGTGATGCACATACCCACCTCAGACTGATATGCAAAACAGAGTTGATATTTCTAAACAGCTGGGACTGTATCTGGCAAGTACATGCTATATAAATGTTAAATAGAAATTAACCTCCAACCGTCGCTTCATACTTGCATAGCTCTAGAGCTTTTCTTATTACGACTCCTTTTCTTTAATTTCAAGCCCTCTGGTCACAGTCTTCCTCTTCCTTGGATGCTGTCACACCCACGAGGAGTCATTTCCTTGCTAGACCATTTTATCTGCACTTTGCCTGTTCCTCACTAAGTGCCTTCACTCCCTGCCACCTCATTTTCTGACCATTCCACTTGTATAATCTATATCCTCTGTTGGATCATTCCAGCCATTTTAACTTTTGCTCTTTGAATACTGAGAAGGAATAGAGAAAATCACATAGTGCTGTAGTTTTGTCCTGCTACAAATTCATGATCTTTACTCTTCATTGGGTTCTTACCTGTGGTCCACCATTCTGCTGCTCATCATAGATAGTTCTGTCTCCCATTCCTCTCATAGCTAGTACATATTTCCATAACTTCTCACCTGGATACCCACCCCCCACACTTCTCCATGCCTAGTGTCAGTGGATGACATTGTCTCCTGCTGCATCAAGGAAAGGGGCCGTGAACTGTGGGACTCTCTATGTCCTGTACTTCCTGCACTTAACTGCCCTGCATTCCCACCTGTGTTTTCATTTTGCTTTTAGAATGTAGACTTGTTATTCTTTCTCAGGTCTAGTACTAATTCCTTTTTAAGTGCTCTGATCTCAACACTTCTTGCTTACACAAGGACTGTGTTACATCAGTCATCATTTTTCTTAGCATTTGGATCTCCCACCTTAGCATACGTTTATATGTTTAGGTCTCTTTCCTCTTAGACAGAAAGACTTATTGCTCTCTGCTTCCCTCCAAAACAAATTTTAGATCACACAAGGTGAAATCTACATTGTCTCCTTAACTCCCTAAAATTTGCCACCTCCTGCCCCCACTACTCCATGAAAATAGCTGTTCCTGTAGTCATTAATAACATTCTAATTGCCAGATCATTTGGACCCTGCACAGTTTATTTTGCTTTTGAGCTACATGTGACTCTGCTCGTTACCCCTCCCACACACACACCACCACCACTACTTGCTTTCTTTAAATTACATAACATTCTCCATTACACATTTTGCTGTGATTTTGGTCGTCATTTTTAGCCTGAACAAAACATTAATCTGGAATCACCTTTGGTCTTATAATTTCATTAGCATGTGTTCTTTTCTGGCATTCCCTCTTGGGTTAGCACTATTAAAACAGCTTTACAGCTCTGGATATGTTTCTGATTTCTGATTTCCCATCTCATTCTAGACATTCTTCTGATAAAGTGTCTAAACTAGAAGGCCAAGTGGAATCATATAAAAAGAAGCTAGAAGATCTTGGTGATTTGAGGCGTCAGGTTAAACTCTTAGAAGAAAAGAATACTATGTATATGCAGAACACTGTCAGTCTAGAGGAAGAGTTAAGAAAAGCCAATGCAGCTCGAAGTCAACTTGAGACATATAAGAGACAGGTAAAAAGAATAGTAACAAAGTTTCTTGATGATGTTTTCAAGCACGTTCTCCATTATAACATTGTGGCTTACCAAAAATCTGCTTACTTTTGTTTTCAAGGTATTGTATTTTACCTGCGAAACTTAGGTTTTTTTGTTGTTTTTTTCTTAACTCAGTTTTAAATTTTAATTCCAGTGTAGTTAACATTGAAACTTAATTCTTATCCAGTGGTTAATGACTAGTGTCCGTAGCAGATCCTTCTGTTGTTTTTTATTTTTAAATTATTATGTAATACAAAATACACAGAAGTAAAAGAATAATACCAAGTGTCTATGCTTAAAGAATAAAACAGACTCTTCCCCTCTCCATTATAGTAACCACTGTGCTGTTTTGTAGTTTTCATTCCATGCATCTCTTTATTCATTTGGTGCATATATATTCATATATATAATGTATAACACTTTTGACATGGTTCAGAACTATATAAATGATATAATAAAAGGGCTCTTCTATGATTTACTTTGCTCAGTGTATTTGGGAAATTTGTTTATGTTGATAGGTATAAAGATAGCTTTATTCATTTGTACCACTATATGCTATTCTTTTGAGTCACTATACCACAGTTTTTCCATTTTCCCATTGAAAGACGTACAGGATGTTTTAACTTTTTTTTTTTTTTTAAATTATGAGTGCTACTATACATACAATGAGAACATGTACTCTTCTATACATGTGTGAAAGTTTTACAGCTATAAGGAACCTCTTCCTTAGAGTATCTTCATTTAATTAGATATTGCTAAATTGTTCTTCAAAGTGACTGTATTACTAAACAGAAGTTTTATGAATTCCTCTCATTCTGCATCATCACTGACACATAGTATTGTCATACTTGAAATTTTGCCAGTTGGATGAATATGAAATAGTGTCTCCTCATGATTATACTTTGCATTACCCTACTTACAAATATATTTACCAATCACAGTTCTTTTGCGAATGGCCTACTTTAAATCTTTTATTCATTTTTAAAACTATATTATTTTTTCTTACTGATTTCTGTAAGTTCTTTATATGTTCTTACTATTAATCTTTTGTCAGTTACACTTGCTGCATTTATTTCCTGCCTATCTGTAACCTGTCTCTTTTTTTTTTAGATTAATTCTAAGATAATGAACTTTAAATATCTTTTTATGATTTGTACCTTTTATGTCTTAAATCATTTCCTACATAAGAGTGTAAGTCAGTCTCTTATTTTCTTAACAAAGATTTAAAGTTTGTTTTGCACAGTTAGGTCTCTTATCCACATGGAATTAGTTCTTGTGTAGGATGCTAGGTTAAAGATCCAGGTGAAACTTTATTATCTGTGTAGGCAACCATTCAACCTAGTGTCATTTATTTAATAGTTTCTTCCACAAGGACCTGCAATTCTATCTTACAAGTACCTAAATTTTCCATCTTAAATATAAGTTTGTTTCTTGGCACTCTCTTCTGTTTCACTGGTTTATTTGTCTAGTCTTACACCAGTATCCCACTTATTATCTGTAGATTTTTTAGTAATTTGATATTTGATAACACAGATAACACACACACCTTGTTCTTTTTCAAAGCTGTTAGATCTTTTCCTTCCCTTTATACCCAAAACTTTTGGGAATTGGATTACATTGACGCTGTTGATTAATTTGGGGAGAATTGACATCTTTACGACAATGAATGTTCCTGTAGGTGAATACATCTTTCCATTTATTTAGGTTTTCAGTGTCTTTCAGTTAAGTTTTATAAGTTTTTTCTAAATGTCATGTACATGTTTTGTTATATTTACTCTTGGGTACCTTATTTGGATTTTATAACTGCAGTTAGCAAAATAAAAGATATCATTTTTAGTTTGTCACTCATTTAAATGATTGAAATTGATTTTTATGTACATTTTTACAACCATGCCAGATTCTCATATTACTTTTAATAATGTCTGTAGGGTCTCTCATCAGAAGTCATAGACAAATTAAAGCAGTTTTGTTTGTTTCTTTGTACTCCATACCCTTTTTCTTCTTAATCAGCACGTTTGACTTGTAAGACAGCTCTGAATAGAAGTAATCATAGTAGACAACCACTTCTTGTTGATTTTATACAGAATGCTTTAAATGTTTTACCAGCATATTAGCACGTTGAACTCCGGTTGTTTATCTTAAATGGAGGCTGAATTTAATCAGCTCCTTTTCCTACACTCTGGAGAGATTCCTGTACTACTTCTCCTTTCTATTAATGTGACTAATTATATTAACGTATTGTTGATGCTTAAACCATCCTTGTATTCGTGAGTTAAACTTCATAGAGTCACTGAGGATTTGTTGTTTTCACATTGTTAGTTTTGCTTTGTTCATTTTACATAGAATCTTTTTCCTCTATGATTCACTTGAAGTTCTCTATCTCATACTTTCCTGATCTGATTTTGGTATCAAAACTATATACTAGCTTAAAATGAGTCGAAGAAGTTTTAGTAGAACAGCTCTGTACACCATGAATGACTGGCAAATTTTTTTGCTGGCTACATTTCTTTCCAACATTTTATTATAAACTTTTCAACACACAATAAAGTTGAAAGAATTAGTGAACTTGAACATGGCCTGAGAAATTACCCCAAATAAATGTACCCAAGGAAAACTATGTGTGAAATTTAAACATATGAAAATAAAATGAGGGGCTTCTGGGTGGCTCAGTGGGTTAAAGCCTCTGCCTTCAGCTCAGGTCATGGTCCCAGGGTTCTGGGATCGAGCCCCACATCTGGGCTCTCTGCTCAGTGGGGAGCCTGCTTCCTCCTCTCTCTCTGCCTGCCTCTCTGCCTACTTACAATCTTTATCAAATAAATAAATAAAATCTTTTTTAAAAAAATATTAAAATGAGATGATTTAATTAGGGTTTCAGAAGAGAGAACAGCAAGAGTTATAGAAAGACATTATTTGAAGAAAAGAACGCCTGAACAGGGGCGCCTGAGTGGCTCAGTTGGTTAGGCATCTGCCTTCAGCTCCAGTCATGATCCCAGGGTCCTGCTTCTCCCTCTTCTTCCTCCTTGTGCTCTGTCTCCGCCACGCCCCCCCCCCGTCAAATAAGTAAATAAAGGAAAAAAAGCCTGAACATATTTTAGAACTAATGAAGTACACATCACAGATCGTATTAACAATGAATTACAAAATAAATAAGGAGTCAATAACTTGAAATATTGCAGTACAATTCTGTAATACATGAATTCTCTCTACCTATTTTGATCTGTGGCTTAATGTATTTTTTCAATGATAGTATTTTTCTTTCCCCAGGTTCTCTGTTCTTTCAAACCTGCCCGATCATCTTCCTTTCATAATTTAGATTTGTGTCTTTATTCTTTTTATATATTAAACCTTGTATTTTAAAATGATAATTCCAATCAAATCTTTATAGGTCTTATTCTACTACTTTATTGTTACTACTGTTAATGTTTTTCTAATTGGTGTTCATGGTCGCTTCTTTATGGCCTTCTCTCTTTCATTTGGCTCATCTTTCTCTTCAGGAATACTTGGGGGTTTGGTTGATGTTGTGTTCCTCCAGAGTGCATATGTTTTGTTTAGGCCTTGTATTTCACAGCACTACCAACCAAGACTTAATTAATTGCTTGAGTTAAGATTTGCGAGATAAAGCATGTGATAAAAACAAAAACAAATCTACCTATTAGCAGGCCATAGTTAGAATTTCAAGTTACACTTCATTAAACACAGAGCACTCACTGTAAGACAGGCAATCTTCCTTACTCTTTTCCCAGCTAATGGATTTTTTCCTAACCAACCTGTTTACTGACTCAGCACCTTTTAAAGCCCAAGGTGGTTTAACAACATCTTCTTTTAAATTCAGAGTTCTAGATTCCTGGTATTAACAGTTGGTGGGTGCCTCATGATACTGCATAGCTTCCACACAAACTTCTCACTGCAATTTTTGCCCCTGAAGGTTTCCCTTACTTTCTTGTAAGCTTAGCTGTGCAGTTGGACTCTTTTCCCTTCATGTTTCTTTGGCTTTGTGCTCAAAGAGTTTCAGACTCCTTTGTTACCTGTATAAAAGGAAATGGAAGCCTGTTCTATAGGTTCTTTCATGATTTTGTACATTACTACTCTGGATGATCTGGTTTTAGAACCCATAATGTCTGGGCAGATGTTTTCTACTAGATCTCTTGTTGGGGTAGGCTGCTATGTCATACACATTTTTATTTTATTTATTATTTTTTTTTAGTATATATGGGGCAGGGAGTTTTCATAGCTCTGCAAAAGAAAACAGTGAAAATTTTTAATGTTTCAAATTATACAAATTAATGGTACCTTTCTGAATCAGGTAGTAGAACTACAAAATAGATTATCTGAAGAATCGAAGAAAGCAGATAAATTAGATTTTGAATATAAGCGGCTAAAAGAAAAAGTTGACAGTCTTCAAAAAGAAAAGGATGTGAGTATAAGGCATTTTGGCTTTGAGCACTGCTAAAATTAAGATAATGATATTTGATTCCTTCTGTTTATAAATTATTTAATTAGAGATCCTGTTTGTTTTTAAATTATAGAAGATTAACATTTGTGTTTCACAAATAAATCTAAAATAGAAGATTAAAAGAATATTTTTGGTTCCACTAATTTCTTTTGTATATCTTTATCTTTTTTATTACTATTGCTTCTTATACATTTTTCTGCTCATTACTTTCTAAAAATTTGTGTAGCTTTTTGTTTTCTTTAGAATTAATACAGAGAACACAATTCTTTTTTTTTTGTTCAGCATATTTTGAATCTTTTAAAAATGTTTACTTTGTAATGGTTTATGAATATTTAAAGGCTTTGCTGTTTGATTTTTTATGTCTAATGAAAGAATGTTATTTATGTAATGTACTTATGTTAAGGACAGAGTAGACACTTTTGTTTCTTATGTTTAACTGTGGATAACATTGTCTTATACATAGTAGATATTCAATATTGTTAAATGGGAACAAGTTTGTTATAATATTTTCCTTTTATGATCTTTCTGTGGAAGATCAAAAGGTGAAACATGCCCATTTTCCCTGATGTTCATCATTCTCTTAGGTAAGGCAGAGGCCACTGATGAATAAATTCATAAAACGTATAACTTTCCTTCTTTTTAATGTCCCTCCAGAGGTTAAGAACAGAAAGGGATTCTCTGAAGGAAACCATTGAAGAGCTTCGTTGTGTACAGGCTCAAGAAGGACAACTCACAACTCAAGGTAAAAACTTTTCAGTAGCCAAGATTATTTATTTCGTATGGTAACAGTAGAAATTTTAGCTTCAGGGACTCCTGGGTGGCTCAGTTGGTTGAGTGGCCAACTCTTGATTTTGGCTCAGGTCATGATCTCAGAGTCCTGGGATCAAGCCCCATGTTGTGCTCCACACTAAGTAGGGAGTCTGCTTGAAGATTCTCTCTCTGCCTCTTCCCTCCTCCCCCACACTTGCATGCTCTCTTTCTCTCTCTAAAATAATTTTTAAAAATTTTAGATTCATTTTAAAGTGCTTGTACCAATGGATGAAAATGAAAAATCAGTGAACAGGCCATGAAGTTGATATAAATTCTAAACTGTTAACCAGATTTTATGGCAAATAGGCTATAGTAATGAGACCAGATTTACTTGCCTATTTTGTATTTTAATTGTATTTAAATATTTGAATTTTATTAGGTCAAAGTGTGAACAGTTGTTAAGTCACCTGCATTAATAATAAACCTGGAAAGTTTTATTCTGGCAAGTTTCTTATGACCGCCTTAAAAGTCAAACTTTCTAAGTCAGTGGGGTTTTTGTTTTTTTTTTCCACCTGAGATGTGGGGTGGATATCAATCCATTATAGGACTTCTGTCCAAAGTAGAGCTCTACTGTTCTCACGGGAGGAGCAGCACTTACCTCAGAGTCAGTCCCTCCCACTTTTGTCATCACGCTGGCAGATGTGGAGCCCAAACAGTGACTTGCACAGCTTCACAGTTGTTTGTGCCCCTCTAATATCCAGCCCTTGGCTTTTCAGTTACCTGAAACTGGAATTTCCTCTGACTATACCCTCCTTTTTCTCCTCCTCATTCATTCTACCTATTGCATTTCACCTTTAACCCCCTCTCTGTTGTTTCTGTTGATAAGCTGGATAGTTCTCTTCTGGCCCCTTTTTCCAGCTCACACAGTCTGCCAAGCAGCCATTTTAACTGTTTTCCTCACCACTGTCTTTCCTTATCTTAAAAACTTGTGAAACCCCAATTCAGATAGCCTAAAGTTTTTTTCTCTATTCCAAATTAACCAGGGCCAGCTAAAGACGATTATATATCTTTCTCTCTTTTCTTTTTTTTTTTTAAAGGTATAATTGGCATATAACATTATGTTAGTTTCGGGTGTACGACCTAATGATTAACTATTTGTATATATTCTGAAACGATCACCACACTAAGTCCAATTAATATCCATCAACATACATAGTTAGAAAATTTGCTTCTCTTGTGATGAGAACTTTTAAGATCTATTCTCAGTAACTTTCAGATATGTAATACAGTATAATTAACTATGGTCACCATACTGTGTACATTATATCCTTGTGACTTAGTTATATTGTATCTGGAAGTTTGTACCTTTTGACCTCCTTTACCCATTTTGCCCACCCTCTACATCCCACCTCTGGCAACCACCAATCAGTTCTCTATTTGTGAGCTTGGTTTTTTTTTTGTTCTTGTTTTTTGTTTTGTTTTCTTTAGCATCCACATACAAGTGACATCACACAGTATGTCTGTATGTATCAGACATACATCTGTTTTCCTGTATTTGAGTTATTTCACTTAGTGTCATGCTCTCAAGGTGCATAATACCACAAATGGCAAGATTTCATTCTTTTTATGGCTGAATAATATTTATACACACAAACACATGCCCCCTACAATTTGTTTATCCATTTATCAATTGATGAAACTTAGGTTGTTTCCATAAAGGCACAGATACCTTCTCAAGTTAGTATTTTCATTTACTGTGGATAAATTCCCAGAAGAGGAATTGCTGGGTCATTTGCTATTTCTATTTTTAATTTTTTAAGGATCCTCCATACTGTTTTCCACAGTGGCTACACCAAATTACATTCCTTCCAAAAATGCACAAGGGTTCTCTTTTCTCCACATCATCACAGCTTATTATCTCGTCCTTTGTATAATAGCTATTCTAACAGGTGTGAGGTGACATCTCATTGTAGTTTTGATATGCCTCTCCCTGATGATGAGTGATGTTGAACATCTTTTCATGTGTGTGTTGGCCATCTGTTTGTCTTTGTAAAAATGCCTATTCATATCCTCTGCCCATTTCTTAATTATTGTTTCTGCAGTTGAGTTGTATGAGTTCTTTGTTTTCAGTATTAATCCCTTATCAGATGTATAGTTTGCAAGTTATTTTCTTCCATTAATTACATTGCCTTTTCATCTTGTTCATAGTTTTCTTTGCTGTGCAGAGGTTTTTTAGTTTATAGTAGTCAGAAATAGATTTTTGCTTTTGAGAAAAGTATGTATTTTTACACACACATACACACATAATTATTTCTGAATGTAATTGGACCCTTGTTGTTGCTTGGTAATCCTTTCATGTATCTCGGACCAACTGTATGAGATTTCCCAAAATTTAGGAATCAGCCTAAGCCTTAATTCTTTAACTCTCAGCTCCTTTGTCATCAAGAGAGGCCATCTTATTTAAATTTACACATTTGTTTCTTTGGTACCTATAAACCTCTTATGTTTTAACCTTATTTATGTATATGTTGTTGACCTAGGAATTTTGCTCTAAAAATTTACCCTAATAAATTAAAGCGTTGTTTACAATAGTAAAATTTAGAAACAACCTAAAAGTTAGCAGTCTTACTCAACTGTATCCTGTAGAGCCATTAAAAGGAATGAAGTAGATCTTACATGCCTGACAAGGAGAATTGTGTATGTTATATCATTAACTTTAAAAAATAAGTTGGTGACATTGTGATAAACTTAGGAAGAGTGTTCTAAGAATAGAAGGAAACTTCCTGAACCTAATCAAGGATAACTACGAAAAACCTACAGCCAACCTGACACTTACTGCTTTTCCCCTAAGATCAGAAACAAGGCAAGGATGATCACTTTTTTTTCCTATTTTGTTATTATTTACTAAACTCCAATATAGTTAACATACAGTGTTATATTGGTTTCAAGTGTACAATATAGTGATTCAGGAATTCTGTACATTTCTTAGTGCTCATCAAGATAAGTGTACTTAATCCCCATCACCTATTTCATCCATCCCTCCACTTTCCCTCTGGTAAGTTGTGTGTTCTCTCTAGTTGAGTGAAAGTCTACTTTTAGGTTTGTCTTTTTCTTTTTTTTTTTTTGAGAGAGATAGTGGAAGCAAGGAGGGACCAAGGGAGAGGGAGAGAGAGAATCTTAGCATTATACTCTCTAGCTCCATCCATGTTGTTGCAAATGACAAGATCTCATTCTTTCTTATGGCCAAATACTATTCCAGTGTGTGTGTGTGTGTGTGTGTGTGTGTGTATGAGTTGTGTGTGTCTGTGTATACCACCTCTTCTTTATCCATTTATCTATCATTGGATACTTCGGCTGCTTCCATAATTTGGCTGTGGTAAATAATGCTGCAGTAAACATGGGGCTGCATATAAAGATGTTCACTCCTGCCACTTCTCTTCATCATAGTATCAGAGGTTCTAGGCAATACAGTCAGGCAAGAAAAGAAATAAATGGCATTCAGATTGGAAAGGAGGATGTAAAAAAAAAGATCATAGAACTAGTAAATGAGTTCAGCAAAGTCTCAAGATAAAAGATTGGTATATAAATACCAACTGTATTTCTGTGTACTACTAGTAAATAATATGAAAATGAAACTACAGTAGTATCATAAAGATTAAAATGCTTGGGAATAGGTTTAACGAAGTGTAAGACTTGTATACTGAAAACTATAAATCATTGCTGAGATGAAGACCTAGATATATGGGGACTCGTGGGTGGCTCAGTCAGTTAAGTGCCTGCCTTCAGCTGAGGTCATGATTGCCAGGGTCCCAGGGTTGAGTCCCACATCAGGCTCCCTGTTCAGCAAGGAGCCTGCTTCTCCCTCAGCCTGCCACTCCCCGCTGCTTGCGCTTGCTCTCTCTCACTCTCTCTCTGACAAATAAATAAATAAAACCTTTTTTTAAAAATCTAGCTATAGGGGCGCCTGGGTGGCTCAGTGGGTTAAGCCTCTGCCTTCGGCTCAGGTCATGATCTCAGGGTCCTGGGATCAAGCCCCGCATGGGGCTCTCTGCTCATCAGGGAGCCTGCTTCCCCCCTTTCTCTCTGTCTGCCTCTCTGACTACTTGTGATCTCTCTCTCTCTCTGTGTCAAATAAATAAATAAAATATTTTTTAAAAAAAATCTAGCTATATGGAGAGACAGTCCATGTTCTGGTATCAGAAAATTAACTCTAGTTAAGATTGCAGTTCTCTTTATTGATTTAAAGATGTGGTGCAATCCCAGTCAGATTCTTAGTACACTTCTTTTGTAGGAATGGACAAGCTGATCCAACAATTTATATGATACAACAAAGGAGCAAGTGTAACAAAAAAAAAACATGGAAAGGAAAAGTTTGGACAGCTCACACATTCTAGTTTCAAAACATAATAAAACTACTATAATTGAAATGCATGAAATTCACATAAGGATAGACATCTCGAGATAATAGAGTGTAGCACATGAATAAAATGAAGGAAAAAAAACACCTGATCATCTCAATTGATGCAGAAAAGGCATTTGACAAAGTCTAACACCCTTTCATCATAAAATACACGCACACACACACCACAAACACCTCAATAAATTAGGAAGAGAAATAGAAAGGGAATTTCCATAACATGATAAAAACTATATATGACAAACCCACAGTGCACATCATACTCAGTGATAAAAGACTGAACGCTTTTCCTTTAAGATTAGAAGCAAGACAATTATACCAACTACCACCACTTCTCTACTTCTATTCAAAATAGCACAGATGTTCTAGCCAGAGCAATTAGACCAAAAATTTTTTTAAACATGAATTGGAAAGGAAGAACTAAAACTATCTCTGCAGATAACATGGTCACCAAAATCAAAAAACATCTCTTGGAACTAATAAAATAAATTCAGCAAATTTGTAGGATACAACTCAGTTACATTAGCTACAAAAATAAATTATATGTGCATAATGAACAATACAAAAAGGAAATTAAGAAAATTTTATTTGCAATAGGATCAAAAAGAATAAATTATTTGGAAATAAATTTAACCAAGGAGGCAAAGACTTGCACCCTGAAAACTGCAAAAGTATTGAGATAACAATACTACCGAAAGCAATCTACAGATTCAGTGCAATCCTTACTAAAATATTAATGGCATTTTTGCAAAAATAGAAAAACCCATCCTAAATTCATATGGAATGTCAGTGGACCCTGACTAGCCAGAATAGTCTTGAAAAAGAAAAAAGTTGGGAGAGCAATCAAAGCAGTGGGTATAGGCATTAAGGACAGTCATGTAGACCGATGGAATAGAATAGAGAGCCCGGAAATAAACCCTTCTGTATATGGTCAGTTGATTTTCAAAATCATTGTGAAGAACATTCAGTCCTGGAACTGAAAGTCTTTTCAACATACTGTGCTGGAAAAACTGGATATCCACATCCAAAAGCATGAAGTTGTACCTTATGCCATATTTAAAAAATGGAACTCAAAATGGATAAAAGACCTAAATGTAAGGGTTAAAACTATAAAACTTTTAGAAGAAAATGGGAATTGTCATGTCATGCCTCTGGATCTGCTTCTTGGAATTGATACCAAAAGCATAGACAATAAATGAGGAATTGGACTTCATCAAAATTAAAAATTTTGTGCATCAAAGAACAGTATTGATAGTGAAAAGGCAACCCATAAAATGGGGAGAAAATATTTGTAAATCATCTATTCAATAAGTGGTTGATTTCCAGAATATGTAAGAATTTATACAACTCGACAACAGCAAAAAAATTACTAAGTTCACTAATGGTTAAAGCACTTGAATAGATATATCTCCAAAGAAAATACACCAAAAAAAAAAAAAAAAAATGACATGAAAAGCTGCTCAATATCATTGTCATCAGAGATATGCAAATCAAAACCACAATGAGATGGTTCTCATCCATTTGGAATGGATTATTACCCAAGAAAAGAGAAACAGGAATAATTCTTGGGAAGCATGTGAAGAAATTGGAACTCTCATGCCTTGCTGGTAAGAATGGGTGGTTCTTCAAAAAGTTAAATATAAAATTACCACATGATCCAGCAACTTCATTCCAAAGTAAATATCCAATTCAAAGCAAGGACTCAAGCAAATACTAGTTTACCAATGTTTGTAGCAGCATTATTCACAGTAGCCAAAAGATGGAAACAACCTGAATTTTCCTCAGCAGATGAACAGATCAAGAAAATGTACATATATGTATTTGTATACATATACGTAGCCAATGGAATATTATTTGGCCATGAAAAGAAATGAAGTGTGATAAATTCTGTAACGTGTTTGAGTTTACAGAACATTCTGAATGAAATAATCCAGACACCAAAGGATAAATATTGGTATGATTTAACTTACGTGAGGTATCTGGAATGGGCAGATTTATTGAGACAGACAGTAAAATAAAGTTTATGGGGACTAAGGAAGAAGGGAATTCGGGAATTATTATTTAATGGTTATTAATTTATGTTTTGGGGTAAGGAGTTTTGGAAATAAGTAGGGGTCCCACAACATAGTGAATGGAGTTACTGCCACTCAGTTATACACTTCACAATTGTTAAATGATAATATAAGGTGATTGTGACATGGTCTTTTACTTAACTAAAACAAAGACTTTAAATGTTAAAATTTGTAATGCTTAAAGTCGGGTTTCATGTAGAAACTAAAGGAATTCAGTGTACTCTCTCTACAACCTTGGATCCTTGTTTGTGTATTTATAGGGTTAATCCCTCTGGGAAGTCAAGAATCTTCAGATAGTCTGGCAGCAGAGATTGTTACACCTGAAATCAGGTAAGGAGATCATGAAATTTAGTCGTGCTGCACAGTATTCCTGGAGGAAACTTATCCCTCTGCAGTATAAAGAGGATCAGTTTCTTACTCATTTTTACTAATGGTTTCAACATGAACTCTGTATTTAATGTCTGCGTTCGCACCTCTTCAGTTGGCCGAAGAGACTTGATTTTCCCATTTCAGTAGGACAATATTTGACACATTCACAGCAAACTAATATATTCATGATTGGATATCCTTACGAGACATTTAGCAGTGAAACCACTTGGCTTAAAGACAGGTTATGCGTAGCCAACAGCCTGCGAAATTAGTCACTAAAATTTATTTCTTAACTACATGAAATGGTCTGGGAAAGATATTAATAGACAGAAATATCTCCCCATTTCTACTACTCTTGCCTCGATATTACCTTTCATTCTTATTTAGTCATAGCATTTGTAAAATTCCATTTTTTCACTATATACCTGGTTTGATATGGAAGAATGAAGGGAGAGGCACCAAGTGTCCAGCAGAAAGAGGATGGTTAATCCTGAATATTGCTTTTACCCTCTTTGGGACTATTTGCCCCCTTTAAAAATTGACACTGGCCTTGACTCTTCATAGCATCTTTGAGGGGTATTAAATGAAATAAGGGTTGTGTAAGAGTTTTATGAAAAGTCTGAAAGTTACCATAGGCATTTAGTTACTTGTTGAGTAAATGACAAAATTTATTCTTGTTAGCATTTATTTAAGGAAGACAAACAAAAGGAGTACGATGCAGCACCAACACTGGAAGCCTCTTGTATACCTTTTACTTTTCTACCATCTGATGTGGTACTTTATTATTGGGCCAATAATACTTGTAGAATGAATGAACTTTTTTTATTTATGAATGCTTCCAAGTACATGGCTATACCAAAAAAATAAAAGTTTTGGAGTGCCTGGGTGGCTTAGTCAGTTAAGCATCTGACTCTTGATTTCGGCGCAGGACATGATCTCAGGTCATGAGATCGAGCCTCTGTGCTGGGTGTGGTCTGCTTAAGATTTTCTCCCTCTCTCCCTCCTCCCCTTCCCCCACTCATGCATACACACTCATTCTCTCATCCATAAGTAAACAAAGAAGTAAAAATTTTTAAAAACAGTTTCTAAGGAAGCTTTTAGGTTATACAGTTGATTCAGAGGTGCCGAACCTGAGGAAGAGAAAAATGATAGTCAACAAATGAAATGGCTTTTTTGAGTATGACTCAATACAAATTCAAATATACTGTTTCCAGAAGAGCCATCAAGAAAATGAAATGGTAAAAGAGATGAAATATAGCACTGTATTAGTTGAAGGTGTACAACTTGATAATATATGTCTGTATTGTGAAATAAATTTATTTATTTATTTATTTATTTATTTATTTATTTTTTTTTTTTTTTAAGATTTTATTTATTTATGAGAGAGAGAGAGAGCGAGCACAGGCAGACAGAATGGCAGGCAGAGGCAGAGGGAGAAGCAGGCTCCCTGCAGAGCAAGGAGCCCGACGCGGGACTCGATCCCAGGACGCTGGGATCATGACCCGAGCCGAAGGCAGCTGCTTAACCAACTGAGCCACCCAGGCGTCCCTATTTATTTATTTTTAAGATTTTTTATTTATTTATTTGACAGACAGATCACAAGTAGCAAAGAGGCAGGCAGAGAGAGAGGAGGAAGCAGGCTCCCCGCTGAGCAGAGAGCCCGATGTGGGGCTCGATCCCAGGACCCTGGGATCATGACCCGGGCCGAAGGCAGAGGCTTTAACCCACTGAGCCACCCAGGTGCCCCGTGAAATAAATTTATTGATCACTGCAATAAATTTAGCTAACATTCATCACCATGCATAATTATAATTATATTTTCTTGTGGTGGTACTTTTCCTTTGAGCAGTTCAGCGGAATATGGATATTGTCTACAAATATCCACAAAATTACTCTCTAGAAATTAATCCTAAGGAAATAACCAATAAAGCTGATTGTTATTAACATGTTAAAGTTCAGAATTGATATCAAATTCTGAATAATTGGGCATTGATTAAATAAATAACAATTCATCTATATTGTTTAACATGTCATTTAAAGTATTATATTACCATTGATGTGTAATATTTAATGATATGAAAAGATTGTGAATAAGTGTAAATAGCAGATGCAGCTCTAATAATCCAGCCTGTTAGCAAGAATACAATTTACCATATTTATAGGAATGGGTGGAATCCATATCTTGAAGGCATTCTTCATTGAATATTATATCTTGCCACCAAGTGATTAGCAGTTCAAGAGCATAGCATTAGAGACCATGTTTTTTGATGAGAACCAAGGAACAAACACATAAATGCATTCATAGCCTAAACATTTAAACCAAAAAGTAAATAAAATTTTGAAATGGCATTAATTACAAATCATAATATTTGAAGACGCTGTTATCTTCGGATTATCCATTCTGAAAAGAAAGTACTGAACACCTGAAATGTAAAATCTTAGCCGGTTACAAGAGCTAAATTCTTTGCAGGGTTGTTTTTTGTTTTTTGTTTTTTGTTTTTTTCATTTCTGTTCTCCGTGTCAAATCTGTTAATTGTGCATAGCTGGATTTTGATAATATGGTATTGATGTGCCACATAACCAGTTTTTCTTTTGCTCATTCAGGGAGAAACTTATTCGTCTTCAGCATGAGAATAAGATGTTAAAAATCAACCAAGAGGGTTCAGACAATGAAAAAATCGCCTTATTGCAGAGTCTTCTGGATGATGCAAATCTCCGCAAGAATGAACTGGAGACAGAGAACAGGTAGGAGCGTGTGTAGATGGCAGCATTGCAGCACAGGTTTTCTGTTTTCCTTGATGTTGATTCCCTTAAACACAGATTTTAGTTGTATTTTGAATACGGATAATGTGTTATTCCATTTCATGTTGAGAGGGGTTAATCCATTTTCCTACTTAGGAACAGACTTGTGGATAAGTATTGTGCCTCTTTACAGCAGCATTTCCCTGTTTATTTCTTCAAGCAGAATGATATCAGACCCCTCCCCTTTTTCCTTTCTATTTGCTGATTAAAAGTAGAGGATTAAAAAAGAATCTGATCATTAATTCAGTCTTCCACAACAACTTCGGTTCTATCTATTACTAGATTAATAAAGTTTACCCTGTTTTTATAAGCTAATATGTTGAAGGATCAGTTGATGTGAGAAAAAGAGGATCCATCATAACTGAATGGACAAGAACTTTAAAAAAAAAAAAACTTATTTCTTGTGAGCCTTAAATGTCATTCATCTTATAAACAATTATGAGGGTTTAGAATCTGCAAATTAAACAAGAAAACCACTTTTCTGCTTGTACGTTTTCAGTATATCGAATTATGCAGTCATTCAAAACTACTTTAAAGCAGTAGCTTACTCTGGAAAGGATTACTTTTATATTTTCTTGTGAAAGTCTTTTGGTTCTTTACGTTTTTGGAAATGTTTCTTAGATACCGAACATATGGTGTCTTTTCCTTTCCGTAGTGCTGCGATGTGCTATAATTTTTGAGGGATTTGACATTTTTATTAGTGGTTTCATAGTTTGCCTGATATTACAGATTCTTTGTTTATTATGTCTAATTGATTTGGCACTTCCCAGGTGTGAGTCAGTCTTGTGAGTCCACATCGTTTTTACAATTTTACATGTCCTGCCCTTCTTGGCACTTTAATTTTTTAAAGCTGCTGAGGTAGAATCGACAAACAGTATAAATACCAGGGTAATTATTAGAGCACAGTTAAGCATAAACAGAAGGAGAACAGTTTTGTGTGAATTCTTAGAGCATAGAGAATGAATACTTTTTAAAAATACTTAGAAAAAGTTTTTAAAAAGGAAGAAAAGGAAGTTGCAGAAAGCAGCTCCCAGTCCCACAGTCCCATGGTGAGAGCACCCTCTGTTCAACACCATCATCCTTTGCCTCTAGGCTATATTTTAACCATCTTACAGGAAGGCCTTCTCTATACCCTAATTTTTTTCCAGTGAATAAGCACCCACAACTTCCTTTATAATGCTTTTCATTGTTTCTCACAGGCTTTATAGTTACTGGCCTTCTCTCATCAGAAACAAAACAACTACTTGTCATTTGAACAGCACTCATGTTGTAGGTGACGGGTTATCTCCCAAGTCCTGATGGCATTTACAGCTATTTACAATTTAGTATTGTTTGTTCTCTCTCTCTTTTTTTTAATCATTTTACCTTCTCTTATTTTTTCATCATGATCAGTGTACTCTTTAATCCCAATCCCTTCTTTCCCCCATCCCCACACCCACCTCCCTTCTGAAAACCATCAGTGTGTTCTTTATGGTTAAGAGTCTGTTTCTTGGTTTGACTTTTTTTTTTTTCTTTCCTTTGCTTATTTGTTTTGTTTCTTAAATTCCACATATGGATAGAATATAGTATTTTTCTTTCTCTGGCTGACTTACATCTCTTAACATTATACTCTCTAGCTCTCTGATGTCATTACAAATGGCAAGACTTCATTCTTTTTTATAACTAATATTCCATTGTATATGTACCACCTCTCCTTTATCTGTTCACCTATCAGTGGGCATTTGGCTGCTTCCATAGTTGGGCTGTTGTAAATAATGCTGCGGTAAACATCGGGCTGCGTGTATCCTGTTGAATTAGCATTTTTGTATTTTGGGGTAAATATCCAGTAGTGCAGTTACTGGATCATAGGGTGGCTATATTTTTAACTTTCTGAGGAACCTCCATGCTGTTTTCCTTGGTGGCTGCACCAGTTTGCATTCCCACCAACGGTGCGGGAGGGTTCCTTTCTCTCCATTGCTCATCAACACTTGTTTCCTATGTCTTTGATTTTAGCCATTCTGACAGGTGTGGGGTGATATCTCATTGTAGTTTTGATCTGCATTTCCCTGATGATGAATGATGTTGAGCATCTTGTCATGTATCTCTTGGCCATCTGGATGTCTTCTTTGGAGAAATGTCTGTTCATGGGGCACCTGGGAGGCTCGGTTGGTTAAGTGTCAGACTTCCGCTTGGGTCATGATCTCAGGGTCCTGAGACTGAGCCCCACATCAGGCTCCCTGCTGAGCAGGGAGTCTGCTTATATCTCTCTCTCCCTTATGCCCCTTCCCCTGCTCATGCTCACTTGCTCACTCTCTCAAATCAATAAATGTTAAAAAAAGAAATGTCTCTGGGACGCCTGGGTGGCTCAGTTGGTTGAGCGGCTGCCTTTGGCTCAGGTCATGATCCCAGCATCCTGGGATCGAGTCCCACATCGGGCTCCTTGCTCGGCAGGGAGCCTGCTTCTCCCTCTGCCTCTGCCTGCCTCTCTGTCTGCCTGTGCTTACTCGATCTCCCTCTGTCTCTGACAAATAAATAAATAAAATCTTTAAAAAAAAAAAAAAGTCTGTTTGTGTCTTCTGCCCTTTTTTTAAATTGAATTTTTTGGGTTTTGGTTGTTGAGTTGTATATGTTTTCTGTATCTTCTGGATACTAACTCTTTTTTTTTTTTTTTTTTTTGAAGATTTTTTTTTCTTATTTGACAGAGAGAGAGAGATCACAAGTAGGCAGAGGGGGGGGGGTAAGCAGGCTCCCTGCTGAGCAGAGAGCCCAATGTGAGGCTCAATCCCAGGACCCTGAGATCATGACCCGAGTAGAAGGCAAAGGCTTAACCCACTGAGCTACCCAGGCGCCCCGAGGATACTATCAGATATGTCCTTTGAAAATATCTTCTCCCATTCCATAGGTTATCTTTTAGTTCTGTTGTTTGCTTGCTTTGCTGTGCAGAAACTTTTTATTTTGATGTAGTCCCAGTAGTTTGCTTTTGCTTTTGTTTCCCCGCTTCACGAGACATATCTAGAAAAATGTTGCAGTGGCTGAAGTCAGATTACTGCCTGCACTCTCTCTAAGGATTTTTATGGTTTTAGGTCTCACATTTAGGTCTTCAGTCCATTTTGAGTTTATTTTTGTGTATGGTTTATGTTTGGATGATCTGTCCGTTGATGTAAGTGGATGTTGCAGTCCCCTACTATTACTGTATTACTATAGATTAGTTCTTGTTGGTTATTCACTGTTTTATGTATTTGGTTCTCCCATGTTGGGTGCATAAATTTTTTAAATTGTTATATCCTCTCATTGGATTGTCCCCTTATGGGGTCCTTCTTTGTCTCTTGTTACAGTCGTTTTGTTGTTGTTTTTTAAAGAGTTTATTTATTTGAGGTCTGCCTGGGTGGCTTGGTCGGTTAAGTGTGTGCCTTCAGCTCAGGTCATGATCCCAAGGCCCTGGAATGAGGCTCCCTACTCAACGGGATGCCTGCTTCTCCCTTTCCCTGCTTGTTCTCTCTCGTTTTCTCTCTCTCAAATAAAGATTTTACTTATTTGAGAGAGCAAGAAAGCATGAGTCAGGGTGAGGGGCAGGAGAAACAGACTTCTCGCTGAGCAGGGAGCCCAGTGTGGTGCTCAAGGCCAGGACCCTGAGACCAAAACCTAAGCCGAAGGCAGATGCCCAAACAACTGAGCCACCCGGGTGCCCCTGCAGTCTTCATTTTAAAGTCTACTTTGTCCATTATAAGTAATGCTACCCTGGCTTTCTTTTGACAACTATTTGCATGATAAATCTTTCTCCATCCCCTAACTTTCAATCCGCAAGTGTCTTTAGGTCTCAGATGAGTCTCCTGTAAGCAGCATATAGATGGGTCTTGTTTATCTATCTACTGTTACCCTGTGTATTTTAATTGGAGCATTTAGTCCATTTACACTCAGTGTAGTTATTGATAAATATGTATTGCTGGTTTTGTTACTTGTTTTTTGGCTGTTTCTATAGTTTTTCTGTGATCCTTTCTTCCCTTGCTCTATTTCATGGTTTATTGGCTTTCTTTCATGATATATTTGGATTCCTTTCTCTTTATTCTTTGCATATCTATTATTGGTTTTTGATTTGTGGTTACCATTAGGTTTGTATATAATATCTTCTGCCTATAGCAGTCTATATTAAGTTTAAACCCATTTTTTACTCCTCTGTCCCACTGCATGTTTTAGGCATATGGTGTCATGTGATATATCCTTTCATGAACCCCTTGACTGAATTTTATAGAAATACTTATTTTTACTACTTTTGCGTTTTTTACTTCTCATACTCCCTTATGGCCTTTCCTATCTACTCAGAGTCTCCTTTCATATTTCTTGTAGGGCTGGTTCAGTGGTCATGAATTCCTTTAGTTTCTGTCTGAGAAACTATCTATCCTTCCATTCTGAATGGTAGCCTTGTGGGATAGAATATTCTTGGCTACAGATTTTTCCCTTTCAGCATGTGGAGTATCATTCCACCCTTCTGTCCTGTGAGGTTTCTGCTGAGAAATCTACCAATAGCTTTATGGGGTTTCTCTTGTATGTAACTGTTTATTCTTGCTGCTTAAAAAAATTTTTTTAATCCCTATTTCCTGCCATTTTATGTGTGTTGGTATGAACCTTTTTGGGTTGAACTTTTGGGGGCTCTCTGTGCCTCCTGGATCTGGATATCTGTTACCCTCCCCAAATTTGGGAAGTTTTTAGCTATTTCTTCAAATAAATTTTCTGCCCTCTTCTCTCTCTCTCCTTCTGAGATCCCTGTCATATAGATGTTATTACCTTTGATGGAGTCACCAGTTTCAGAAGGCTATCCTGAATTTGCTTAATTTTCTTTACTCTCCTTGTCTTAGTTTGGTTACTTCCCATTGCTCTTTCAGGTCATTAATTTGTTCCTCCACTTCATCTGGCCTGCTGTTTATTCCATCAAGTGTATTTTTAATTTCATGTATTATGTACTTCATCTTTGATTGGTTCCTTTTAATGCTGTGTGAAGGATCTCATTGATGTCCTCCATTCTTTTATCAAGTCCCGTGAGTATCTTTATGTTTCCTATCTTACATTCAATCGTCAGGCATATTACATATATTTGTTTTGCTTTGGCCTCTTGTTGTGGTTTGGTCCTGTTCTTGCATTTGGCCCATATTTCTGTGTCTCCTTATTTTGTCTTACTTTCTGTGTCTATTTCTGTTAGGAAAGTCAGCTACTTCTCTTGCTACTAATGATAACAGCCTAATGAAAAAGAGGTCCTGTAGTGCAGTGTTGCCTATTCCCCAGGGCCTGGCACTTCAGGGTGCATCTCCTACGTGTGTGCTCTGCTATTGAGTCTTGACCTCTTTTTCCTTCATCCCAGTTGTCTTTAGAGGCTTTCTTTGCGTATTGTGGACAGTGTTTGGTCCCCAGCAGGGATGGGGAGTGTTTTAACAAGGTGTGCAATGGTGTGCTTGTGAAATGAGATCTGACCCACAAATGAGACCAGAGGTCCCACAAAACACACAAGTTGGGAGATGGGAGATGAGAGGTTGGCAGGGTTTGCACAAGTTTTCTGGATGGTGGTGGGGTGGGGGTTGTTGATGTGCTGCAGCCCTGGGCTTAAGGGGAGTGTGACTGGGAAGGGCGGAACCATGGAGCAGTGGTTGGTACAAATTAGGTAGGAGTGGTGGCTATGTGTTTGCTGGGGGACAGGGAGAGGGAAATGGTGTCTGCCAGTTCCTTTATTCCTGGAAGGGTCTCTGCATGATCCCTATTTCTCCGGGCCACATTCAGAGATGGGCAAATCACTCCCTCTAGTCCGCCCTTGGTGTTTCAAAGTGCTGGTTCTGTGCTATATCTACACTACCCTTGGTCATGCTGTGTCTTTAAGGGCTGGGGCACTGCTTCCTGTTGCAGTCAGGGCTCTACCAGAGACGAGCTCACCAGTTTTTTAAATTCCAGGCTTTAAGTCTTGCTGGCTTTAAGAACTCAGGAAATTCAGCCTCTCTCACTTTGAAAGTCAAATATTACAGAGATCCGTCCTTCCTATTCAGGGCTCCCTGGTGAAAGTGTGTTTTCCGCCCTTCTCCATGCCACTGGCTCCCTTCCCACTATGGGCAGTCATGGTCTGTTTTGCTCCCAAACCGTGACTTTGCCCTTCCTACCTTCTTCAGTGGGACCTGTTCTGTACCTTTAGTTGTGAAGTTTGTTCTGCCAGTTTTCAAGTTGTTTCCTGGGTTATTTACACTCCTGCGGTGGTACCTGGTTGTAGCTAGCTGTTGTCATGTGTGGGATGTCGCACGCTCAGGATCCTCCTACTCTGCCATCTTCCCAGCAGACCTTTTGCTTGAATTACAGTACAGATTGATAACTTGCCTTTGTAGTATGACCATCTGTAACCTAGAACAACAATAATAATAGCAGCTAATGTTTATTAAGGTTTTGTTTGTTCCATATATTGTGCTATTCATTTTAAGTATGTAGTCTTATCTTTATTAAAGTTTTACAGGTGAGGGAATTTGGTCTCAGACCCAGGCTACCTAAATTCAAAGCCTCTACGTAATCCATACCTTTTGTTTTTGTTTTTGTTTCTAAGGTTTTTATTTTTAAACAATCTCTACACTGAGCATGGGACTTGACTAAACCCGAGAGCAAGAGCGGCATGCTCCACCAGCTGAGCCAGCCAAGCACCCCATCCATACCCTCTTTCTTTCTTTTTTTTTTTTTTTTAAGTTTTTTTTATTTTTATGTATTTATTTGACAGACAGAGATCACAAATATGCAGGGAGGCAGACAGAGAGAGAGGAGGAAACAGGCTCTCCGTGGAGCAGAGAGCCCGATGCGGGGCTCGATCCCAGGACCCTGAGATCATTACCTGAGCCGAAGGCAGAGGCTTCAACCCACTGAGCCACCCAGGCGCCCCTCCATACCCTCTTTCTTTTCAGTTTCTCTTTTGCCATGTTTGCAAAACATTTTTTTCTGTCTTCCCCTCATGGAAGGCTTTTTCCCTTAAGTGAATTACCCTAAGTTTGTTCTTAATGGAGTTTAATAAGAATTTACAGGACCTTGTCTCTAACTTAATCTCTAGTTCTTAATCTCTAGTTCCACTGAATCTTTTAACTTAAATTCAATTTGTTCACCATCAATATATTGTCTGTCAGAAGGAAAGGGTTGTCATAAACCTCCACAATCCTTTCCAATTAGTTTTCCCAGTAACTTGGCTTTTTTAAAATCTGTAATACTTGCTGACCCTCACAATACACTTCTTTGTCAAAGTATACATACATGATCTTGTTCCCTTCGCACTGAGAGTTTATTATGATCTCAAACTCACCCTCTTCCTATACCTCCTGACAATTATATGTAAGTAGACTTTACTTAAGATGTGAACTAACTAAATCTCTGAAGGGAGATTAGAGGCAATTCACATTTATAGAGTGCCTGTTATGTACAGGTACTGTGCTGAACAGTCTGTATATTATCTTACTCTTCTAAACAACACCATGAAGTAGGTATTATAATGCTCATTTATTTTTTTTTTGAAGTTGCATTTTTTGAAAAAAGATGAACTCATATTTTTTCCACTTATATTTGTATATCTTCATTCCTCTGTGCATAATTCACACTTCAACAGTTCTTAATTGCTGTGATTGTCTATTCCCTCTCACTAGACATTTGAGTTGTACTTAAAAGGAACATCTTGATACGGATTTAGTATACATTATGTTAATTACCACACTATTTTTTTATTAAATAATTTCAAAAATGGCTAAGGTGGATGGTTGAAATACTCTAATAGTTTGAAATATATTTTTCATATTACTTTCTGAAAAGATGGAACAAAGTTACAGTATCACTAGTAATGTATTTATGTATCTCCCCACATTGAGTATGGATTTTTAGGTAATTCCTTCACCATTTAAAAAGCACCCAAATTTTCTATCCTTTGATTTGAAAAACATCAGTTATTATTATAGATTTAATTGAATTTTTACTGTGATTTTCACTAGTTACAGAACTTGGAACATTTATGGTAAGAATTATAGTTTACTTAGTAAAAAAAAAAAATGCTTATTGAATTTTCTGACTGTTTAGATTATAAAAATTCATTGCCCTGTTTTGTCCTTAATTTGAGGTAGTTCTGCCATTCTACCATTTCACTAATGTGTTTCCTCCTAAAATCACCAGTCCTCCCTTAAATGGCCAATCCAGTAGGAGCATTCAAGACTTTATCTTACCTCATGTCTATTGTATTCATTGTTGTTGTACATTTTCCCCTTCCTTAAACTTTTTTTTTAATTTCAGTTAACACAACTCTCTTATGTTTCTCCTAATTCTCTTCAGGGTGAAGCTCCTCTTTCTACCCTGTGATTGGTGACCTGCCATGGACATCTTTGTTCTCTTTTACACTCTTCTTCACAATCTTTCTAGTTCGTATTATATTTGCTTATGGCTCAGTTAACTCCAAATGGCTCTTATATCTATATTTTCAACACAGATATTTCTTTGTGCTTCAGACACAGAGGTCTAGCTGTCTGACAGATATCTCTAGGCTCTGCATTTTCAACAAATACAAAATAAGTTTATCTTCCCTTCTCAACCTGTTTCTCCTGAATTCCCTTCATTAAATGTTTTTCAGTAATTCAAACCAAAATCCTTAGTGTTTTTCTTCCTTGTATTCTTTTGCCCTTTAGATAGATTTCATCCTTGTTACCTCCTCTTTCAGGCATACTTATTAATAACTGTGGTAGCCTCCTCCTGGTCTTCGTGCCTTCACTTTGACCTTTTTAATAACATCTTCCTCTCGCCTACCAATGTGCTCTGTCTAAAATGTTGTCTAAGTTTCACCCTTCTTGCAGTCCTTTAGGGTGATTGCCCAAGAATAGGGAACCAAGTTAATCATAATTAACTTAGAGAATTTCTGAGCTCCAGAATCAACATTGTTTTAAAGGCTGGGTGGGTTGTTCCATTTCAGCCAGATTTTAAGATAAGTTCTAAATACTCTAGCATTCGTGCATGGTTGTACCCAACCTCTCCTCTTCTCTGGTTTCATCTCTAGCCATTCTTTCCCTCATAATTTAGTCTTTAGACATGTTGTTCTTAAAGAATGTTATTTATTTAGTTATTATTTATTTTTAATTTTAAGTAGGCTCCATGCCCAACATGGAGCTTGAACTCACAACCCTGAAATAAAGAGTCACATGCTTTACTGACTGAGCCAGCTAGGCGTCCCCTTTTTTAAAGAATTTTTTTTTTTTAAAGTAGGCTCTAGACATGCCATTCTTAAAGTCACAATAAACCTCTTATTTTCTGTGTGATTAGGACGTGGTGAATTCTCTGTTTTAAATCTGCTTTCCACTCTTAATCGCTTAAGTATTTTATTTCTTGTTCTAGTCCCAGTTCAGTCAAGCCTAACTCCTCCACATGATTAGATAAAGTTCTTTCTGCTTCAAGCAGTCATTATTCCTTTTTGGTACCTCTGTGTGCTATGTGGAAGTATTTATTTGTATTAGTATTTATCTTGTATTTTAACATTTTGCTTCCCTACTGAATTCCTTCACTATGGGGATCTTTTAGCGCAGTGCTGAGCATAGTGCCTGACACATAGTTTCAATAAATGTATTTACATGAACTTCACATAATTAGGTGTATATAAGCACATTGGGGCAACAAAATATGTCCACTAAACTACCATACTTGAAATCATCATAGAAATTTCAAGTAAAACAAAAAAATAGCCAAAACAGTGAGCTGCACTACTATCTTAACATGAGGGTTTGTTTTGTTAATTATACTGCCTTTCTAACCAACATGACAACCTAACGAGAAGATAAAAGTAAGTCTGAACTTGGAAAATTAATATACAGTTGATTTCTAGGTTGGTGAATCAAAGACTTCTGGAAGTACAGTCACAAGTTGAAGAATTGCAAAAATCTTTACAGGATCAAGGCTCAAAAGCAGAAGATGTAAGTTTTAATATGTACCAACTAATAGTTTCACAGTGTTAAGAAAAGCTATAAGTTCTGTTTTTTATTTGATTGTCTCTATCAGAATAATTTACAATTATATTGGTTATAGAAAAGAAGCAATATTTTCCTTTTACTAACATTCCTTAATGAAAGAACCAGACAGTACTTCATTGTACTGATTGGAATCACTGTGCTGGAAATTGGAAGTTTATTTGTAGTTATTAGCTAAGGAATTGACTGAGGCATTGTGGAGTTTTTTTGTTTGTTTTAGGAAGTGGGAAAACTAGGATTTTTTCTCTAAGTTTTTATTTATTCATTTAAGTTCCTTACTCCCATTGTGGGGCTCACACTCACAATCCTGAGATCAAGAAGTCACATGCTCTTCTGACTGAGCCAGCTAGGCGCCCTGAGGCTTTGTGTTATAAATGTGTTTGTCTCAGTCTTCGGAGTTCAGGGTTTTTTCCCTCTGGCCAGTAACAACAACAGTGCTGTTAGAAATTTGGCATGTTCAAGTAGAAATTTTTTATGTATAATTGATATTTTCAAAAATAATGCTATCCTTAGAAATAACCATCCCTGAATTTCTGAATCCTCTTGCTACCCCAGGCCAGCCCCACACAAATAGAAGTTCACAGACCTTCTTTTATTTTAATATTCCCTTATACTCTGCATATCTGTCATAGCCTTGCCTGCTTGACTGTTATGGTCGCATTAGAATATAGTAAACATGTTGAGCCAGAACTAGATGGACTTTAATCTTCTCATGCTGTCTGAATTACCACAATGCTCATGTAGCACATAGTAGTCAGTCTCTGATTAAAGTGTGAATAAATTTTACAAATCCTTTCCTTTTAATAAGCAGTATACGGTAGAACCGCAACTATAGAGTGTTCAAAATTAGTGTAAAGAGGGGGAAAAAAACCTTAATTTTAGTGACCAATCTTTGCTTCAGACAGTTGGTTCTTTTATTATTGCTAGTGTAATTTGCTATAAACTCTGGCCTTTGAGTATAAACCTTTACATAGTTGTATAAACCTCTACATAGTTGCTTTTTGGAGAATCGTCAAAACTATAGGTATATCATTTCTATCCAGTCTTAGTAATGTAAGAGGGTATGAAAATGAAAGAAACCAATGAAGGGGTGTTGAACCAGCATATTACTTAAAACCTGTGAATATTAGATCTAAATAGCTCATCATTGATCTGATTTTATGAGTTTCATAAACCTATAGCTATCTTCTATTGGTAGTATGTTCTTTCTAAGATCTCTGGTTTTGGTTTATCCTTTCATTAATGTGTAGGTAGTCCTTCTTAGACCCCAAATTGATTCCTAGTTCCTAAAATTATCACCAACATCTAAACTACTTTATTCCCTTATTAAAATAGAACTAGTTTGAAATGTTACGGTTCACTTTTTAAAAGTGTTTTTCTAATCCAGAATGGTAAGCAAGAAAGAGATGAAGCAAAACCAACATTAGTGTATTAAAATACTTAGAAGGCTAACTAAGACTGTCTTCGAGATGAACCTAAGTGATTTCTTCAGTGAAATCACTTGGTCTCTCAAACTTTGAGGAGACTTTTTGTTGATTTGTTATAGGAGAAAGGGGAAGGGCATGTGGTACATGGGAAATAAGAGTGGCAGGACATCAGTGTCAGCTCCGCCTTAGTGTTACAGAGATAGCTGCCATATGTGCTTGATTCTCTTACTTGTGTTAGAACATTCAGAAGGAGTTTGTTCTGTAAACAATAATTTTGCATAGGTATCCCTGTGGTAATCAAATCTGATTAACTATGCTCTGTGCCATTACTTAAAGAGAACATACTTCAGAAGTGAGATGCCAGCCATGAAAGTACTATTTGCCTAAGTTAGTCAATTTATTTGATTGCCCAGATGCTAGAGAGGTGTTACTCTAACTTCTTAGATATTCCCTTAGAGTTCTTTTATATATATAGAAAAGATTCAGATAGGAACTTTCCTTATTGTGATAGGACTCAAATCCAGCAAATGTTTGATGTTTTCATCTTCTCTTCCACTAACCTGTAGTGTCGCATCTCAGGAATATTAGGTAGTATGTAGAACAACTGGCCAAATGGTCCCCTCTGAAGAACAGCGTAATTTCTGCCCATTTCTGTTACCAAAAGCATAGTCCTTTCATGTGACCTTAAGTCAGTAGGATGGTTTACACATTTTTATTATTATTTTTATGTCATTTATTTTTAGCATGGAAGCAGAAAAGCGTTGTTAAATCCAGTCATATGGATAATATGAGCTAGCCACAGTGTATAAAACTCAAGAGAACAAGACAGGATGAGGAGACCATAGAAGAAAGAAAAATGTACATTTTTTTAAAAAAATGCATAATTTTTGCTTATGTTCATGAATTACTAAATCGTTCCTTCACTTGGCTGCTGTATTTGCTTCATACTAATATGTCCTCTCTGTCTCTTGGCATGGTTTCTGCTCAAAAGGCTATTGTAAGTATGGCTTCCTATTCATTTCTATATATTGAGCAAATTTTTTATTTATATACATTCTCTTCCATAATAGTTGATGGTATTGAAATTTTTTAATTATGGGAATTCTATGCAAATGAATGTTATTTTCCTTACAAGTTTATGTCCTTTACACTTAAGATATTTAAAGGATATTGAAAACAAGTCAAGCCAAAAAGACCTCTGCTCTTATTTGTTCCCCCATCCCACTCTTGCTCTGCCTCCTTGTTATAATTAGTACATTTTTATAAATTATTTTGGAGCTTCCTGTTGCAGTCTGGCCTCCTCTTGCCACCTCCTTTAATAGTAACAGTCTTCAGTGGAGAGGCAGTGGAGTGTAGGAAGCATGGGAGTAAAGACCATGCACAAACTTTAGAGTCTGGCAGGCCTGGGTTTGTTTTGGGGTATATTGTTTTTTTGCTTTCTTTTGTTTTTCCCAGACCTGGGATTTTAATTTTGGGTGTGCCACTTGAAAGCTACTGAATGTCTCCCCAGTCTCACCTTCCTCACCTGTCAGATGGGCTGATATGGCTCACAGTGGTGAGATTAACATGAGACTGCAGTGCCTACTGTATTAACCACTCATGAGAATGATTATTGCGTATTATCTCAGTTAAAACTAATTTTGCTAGTGCCCAGTCAAAACGTAAATGCAAAATTACAGTTAAGGTACTTAAAAAGTATTTGCATTTTACCATCTGTACGAAAGAATGAACAAAGCGATAACTGAAAATTAACAGAGTTATTGCCTTTCTTTTATATTTGGGGGAAACACTGATGGGAGTCTTGTAGTCCATTGATCTTGGTGTAGTTTACATACTGAACAAAGAGGTAAATTTGATATATTCCAGAGCTGTGTTAAAATGGACTTGAATAAACAATTATAGTAATCATTTTTAAATAAGGTGACTGAAAATCAGAAAACTCACTGGAGGTTTTCCCCCCCATCACTGCTGCTATTGACTGATTGGACAATTTGTTTTATAAGCCTACATTAATTGGGTTTGGCTGAATTTCTCTCAAAATGGAATGTTTCGTAGAACTCATTAGTAATATGTACCTCAAGTTTTTAGTTACAAAACCTAGTGGTCCTTTATAGAATGCCATTATTATTATTTATTTTTTTTTTTTTAGGCCAATTCTCATCTGCTTTTTGGGTGACTGTGTGTGTGTGTTTTGGGAGAGAAAGAGCACACATGTGACATAGGGGAAGAGGAAGAATTTTAAGCAGGCTCCACACCCAGTGCTAGCTGCCACAGGGCTCAGTCTCATAATCCTGAGATCATGACCTGAGCCAAAATTAAGAGTCAGGTGTTTAACCGACTGAGCCACCCAAGCACGCCAGGAGACCTTTTTTTTTTTTTTTTTTTTTTTTTTTTTTTTTTTCTCCATTCATTTACTTGACAGATCACAAGCAGGCAGAGAGGCAGGTGTGCAGGGGCGGGGGTGGGGGGAGCAGGCCCCCCTCTGAGCAGAAAGCCCAATGCAGGGCTCCATCCCAGGACCCCAAGATCACGACCCCAGCCAAAGGCAGAGGCTCAACCCACTGAGCCACCCAGACACCCCACCCCAGGAGACTTTATTTTTATTATTTTTTTAAGGTTTTATTTATTTTAGAGAGAGAGTCCTCAAGCAGACTCCCTGCTGAGCAAGGAGCCCAAATCAAGAGTCGGATGCTTGAGTGACTAAGCCACCCAGGCACCTCACCAGGAGAGTTTTTTAAAAATCTCCAGCCAAAGCTTCGTTCTTAAGTAAATTAAATTCTGTGCATACAGCGTCCTTCACATTCCCATACAATCACATGAATTACTTGTGTGCATATTCAGAAATCTCTTGAGTAAGTCAGTGTTTTTGGCATTGATCCCAGTCTCTACCATGATGCTAGGAGAATAATATAGTCGATGAAAAGTATGTTGGGGGGTGCCTGGGTGGCTAGGTGGTTAAAGCCTCTACCTTTAGCTCAGGTCATGATCTCAGGGTCCTGGGATGGAGTCCTGCACCAGGCTCTCTACTCAGCAGGGAGCCTGCTTCCTCCTCTCTCTCTCTCTCTCTCTGCCTGCCTCTCTGCCTACTTGTGATCTCTGTCAAATAAATAAAAATCTTTAAAAAAAAAAAAAAAGTATGTTAGGGAAAAAAAATCTATTATTATTAGAATTCTACCTGCCTATTGGGTCCAGGAATATTAGGTCTGTGTATAAGTGGCCTTTTTATTACTTTTTTTTTTTTTTTTTTTTTTTTGACACAGATATAGTGAGAAACAGCACAAGTAGGGGGAGCAGCAGGCTCTCCACTGAGCAAGGAGCCTGACGCAGGGCTTGATCCCAGTCATGACCTGAGCCTAACGCAGATATTTAATCAACTGCGCCACCCAGGCACCCCTTTTCAGTTCTTCTTGACTGTAGAGACTTCAGATATGAAGTTTCTAGGTATTTTATACTGATTGCTATCACTCATGGTCTGCTCTCTTTCCAATCAAAAGAGAAATAGGGGCACACCTGGGTGGCTCAGTTGGTTAAATGGCTGCCTTCGGCTCAGGTCATGATCCCAAGGCTTTGGGATGAGCCCAGCATCAGACTCTGTGCTCAGCAGGGAGTCTGCTTCTCCCTCTGCCTGCTGCTCCCCCTGCTTGTGTTTTCTCTCTCTCTCTCTCTCTCTCTCTGACAAGTGAATAAATAAAATCTTAGAGAGAGAGAGAGAATGAGAGAAATAGACTTAGGTACATTGTCTATTTTGAGCTCTTTGACCAGAGAACTTAACTGAGAACTCATTACTACTGTACTCTTTATTTTTAAAAAATAATTTTGTTAGTTAAACTGTTAAATAAATTTATTTTATTTTCCATTTTCAGTCAGTTCTTCTAAAAAAGAAGCTTGAAGAACATCTGTAAGTATAAAAGCTGTTGAGTCTCATTCTCCTATCCTCCAGTGAAATAGAAGTATTTTGTTAGGTGGTTACAGAGTATGTAGGCAATGGCACAGGTGGCCCCTGAAGATACAGGAAATTATAAGACTTATTTATTGTCTAAAGGGTCATCTCCACCCGGTGTCCTTAAGTCAAAATAAGTACTGCTTTAGAACTGTTTTCTCCTAAGACTCCAGAGTTTTATGTGTTTGTGGTAGTATTTATAACTAGGAGTTTGAGACACTATAGATCAGGAAGCAGGAACCTTTTTCTGTAAAGGGCCAGCTAGCAGCTACCTTAGGCTTTGTAAACCATGGTCTGTGTCACAATCATGTAGCTCGTAGTTTGAAAGCAGCCATAGACTATAGATTAATGTTGTGACTGTTCTGTAAAACTTTATACAAGAACAGGCAGCTGGCTGAATTTGGCCCAGAGACTGTAGTTTGCCAGCTCTAGAGTATAGGCAGCTGAATCTTCCTTTTTAAGTGAAGTTTTAAAGTACTACAGAGCTTATCAGTAGCAGGTTTTCAGACATTTCCTTGAGTTACAAATATATTTGAAAGTGACTTTTTAACCTTAAAAATGAAATAAATTTTAAAATATTACATTTGTTTTCTTATGAAGAAGAAATCTTTATCCATCTTTATCTTTAGCTGAGGTTGACATCGTTAGGAATGTTTAGTGATTTTCCTCACACCCAGTAACAATTTTAATCCTTCCTATCAGTTTTTAGCAACACTCTCCTAACGAACATTGAATGTATGGTGGCCATGAATTGCTAGCCTGTTGGGGGTGTTAACAGTGTTCCACTATGGTAAACCAGACATCCTCAGTATCACAGAGATAATTTTGACTTCTTCTACTATGATTGGAAAAAAATCTCTATAATTTTTTTATATGAGCAGTTTGTCTCATGCTATCTTTTTTGGGGGTGGGGATAATATGGGAGAAGTGAGATAATCCCAGGTACTGACACTTGCTGGCAAGTATAACAAGGGGCAGATTCTTAATGCACTAACAGAAGAAAAAATGTTGCCTTCTAGCCATTCTGGGGTTACCTGGAGTTAGAATTCAGTCCTGAATTCTATCCTTTTTTTTTTTAACCATTTCTCTATTGTTAAAAAAAAAAAAAAAAAGAATACCTGTTGTTTCATACAACAGTCCATTGTTCATACAACAGAACCATTGTTCTGTGTTCATTTACATGGTAAATATCTTCATCAAAAAGAATTTATTATTGAGGATGAAGCCTGTTAGTCTCCAGTGGCTTCCATAACAAATTACCACAAACTGGGTGACTAAAAAGAAAGCAGAAATTTATCTTCTTCCAGTTCTTGACACTACATGTCTAAAATCAGGGAGGTCAGCAGAATGGGTTCCTTCTGTAGGTTCTAAGGGAGTCTTCAGGCTGACTTCTAGCAATCCTTGCTGTTCCCTGGCTTATAGAGACATCACTCTAGTCTCTTATCTCCCCATCTTCACATGGCATCCTCCTCTCTGTACATCTTGTCTTCACATGGCCTTCATATAGGGACACCAGTCATTGGACTTAAGGCCCACCCTGATCCAGCACAACCTCATCTTAACTAATTATATCTGCAAAGATAGTGTTTTCACATTCCTGGGTATTGGGGGTTAGGACTTCACCGTATCTTTTTTGGGAGTTACAATTCAATCCACAAGAGGGTCCATAGACATTTCAAAAGGTCATTCTCATGCAAATTTAAAACTGTAGTGAAGATGCTGTATTTTACATACACCAAATTGGGTAAAATTAAAAATCAGACATACTAAGTATTGCCGAAGATGTTCCGCAAAGGTAATTCTATTGCAAAAGATGGTCAGCAGTATATTCTCCACTGAGTTTCTATCAGTTTGCTTAGCAAACTGAGCATGCACATATGCTGTGACCCATGAGTTCCATTCTCTACATCAACCCTAAATTCCCCAAGTCAGGAGACATGTAGAAGAAAGTATAAAAGAATATTGTCTGCAGTAACAAAAGCAGAACCAATACAGATAGCACCAGTTTGTAAAACAATAGCTAGAATGAGTTATGTTCAGACAATAGAACATAATGCCACAGTCAGCTATGTAACTCAAAGCTAACACGTCAACATACGTGAATCTCAAGAGCGTGGTGTTACGTAAAAGATGGAAGTCACAGGACAGTACATACAGTATAATGTATAAAGTGAAAATTTGGCAAAATTCACCAGTATATTGGTTAGGAGTACACACGAAGGCTCATCAGGAAAGTCATGAAAAAGATTAAACTTCTGAGTTTGGGTTCCCTAAGTTTCTGGGTTAATTTCTGTTTCATGACCTTTTTACTGAGCTGGAAGTTAATTACTATTTTAACTGCTGTATATACTCATTTTATATCTAGATACATATAGATACATTCAAAAAATTTGTTGAAAAATAGACTTATTAGAGTATTATTCATAGAAAAGACCAGAAATAGACTTTAAAAAGTGCTCTTTCTTCTGTTTTTTTTTTTCTATATTTTCCAATTTATGCAGCCTTTTTTCCTCTGCTGTTACAAAGTGCTAAACTAAATAGAGAATTACACATATTATAATTATAATTATATATAGAAACTTTCTGTTCATTTTTTACTTTTGGATTGGAATATAACTTACATAAAGTACACAAATTCTAAGTTCCTGAGTTTGATTAATGTTTTTTTACATCCAGAAATACCCCAGATCAACATATAGAATACTTCCAGTAAACTCCCCAAAATTCTTCATTCTCCCTTCTAATTGACTGATTCCATCCCCAAACTAGCCACTATGCTGTTCTCTTAACCACCTTTCATGGGTTTTGACACATTCTGAACTTCCTGTAAAAGGAATCCTACAGTATTACCCTTTTGTATTTAACTTCCTATGTTCAAAATTCTGTGATACCTATCCATGTGAGTGCATGTATCATTTTTTTTTATTGGGGGATAGCATTCTATTTTTATTTTTAACACTGTTTTACAATAAGACTTTTGTACTGTAAAACCTCTGTAAAGTTTTAAATTAATTTTTATAATATCCTCTTCCTAGAAAAAAAGATCATTACGTTTTCTGTGTCCTCTTATGCCTATTCATGTAAAAGAAATTATAACTATTTCAAAGTCTGAAATTTTTGTCTCTATTTTTTAACCTATTTTAAAAATATATATTCATGTTGGATTAGGCTTTTTTATCCTCTTTTGTTTCATAGCAGTTGTGTGATATGCAAGTGTATCTCAAGACTAAAGAAATTAGATCTTTCATTTCAAGTGAGGAAAAAAAACAAAAGCAGTAGTAGTAGGTGACAATATGTTATATATTTTGTTACAGGGAGAAGCTTCATGAAGCCAATAATGAATTGCAGAAGAAGAGAGCCATTATTGAAGATCTTGAACCACGATTTAATAACAGCTGTGAGTTTTCCCTAATTAGCATAGTTGTTTTTAATTAAAGTATATTTAACATATTATAGTACTAATTACCACAGGTTTGTTTTTTGTTTTTTTTTTTAAGATTTTATTTATTGAGAGAGTGAAAGTGCATGTGCAGGGGGGAAGGGCAGAGGAGAGAGAATCCCAAGCTGATGCCACACTGGGCTCGATCTCACAACCCTGAGATCATGACCTAAGCCAAAACCAAGAGTTGTAGGTTTAACCAACTGAACCACCCAGATACCCAGTGATGACTTTATATAAAATTGTTCCTTTCAGAAATAGGTCCTATTATATATTGTAGCAATTAAAGAATTTATCTTATTTACAGAATGAGTATATAATCATCTTTATAATACTTCTAATTCTAGTTTTGAGTTTTTCCTTAACTGTAGATGGTAATGAATATTTTATGTAATTAGCTATTTCCATAGTATAGTTGCATGAAAGTCAGATGTTTTACTGCTTTTGATATTTATACCTGTAAAGTAACCTGACTTTATTAATGCTTTTAATAAAGGACACAGACCTTCCCCCACACACACACCTTTTCTAACTGTGGTGAAATAGATATCACATAAAAATGACCATTTTAGGGGCACCTGGGTGGCTCGGTTGGTTGATGATCTGACTTCAGCTTGGGGTCCTGGGATCAGGCCTGCAACAGGCTCCATGCTCAGTGGGGAGTCTGCTTGTCCCTTTTCCTCTCCCTCCGGGCTCCCCTCTCCCTGTTCATGCTCTCTCCCTCTCTCTCTGTCAAATAAATAAATCATTTTTTTAAATGACCATTTTAACCATTTTTTAAGTATATATTTCAGTGGCATTTAGTACATTCACATTGTTGTGCAACTGCTATCCATTTCCAGAACTTTTTCATCATTCCAATCTGAAATTCTGTGCCCATTAAACAGTAACCCCCCATTCTCCCCTGTCCTGCCAGCCCCTGGGAGCCACTGTTCTACTTTCTTTCTCCAAGAACTGTTCTAAGTAAACTCATCTAAGTAGATTCATACATTTGTCCTTTCATGTCTGGCCTACTTCACCTAGCAGAATGCCTTTCATTTTCACTTATATTGTCTCCATGTTGACAGGTGTATCAGAATTGAGGCTGAGTAATACTCAGTTATACATATTGACCACATTTTGTTTATGTACTCATCCATCGATGGATACTTTGTTTCATTGATGGATACTTTTTAACTTATGCAGTTCCAAACTGAAGTTTTTGTTTATTTACAAGAAAAGCTTTTTTGTTAAAAAAAGCTATTTTATAGGGGCGCCTGGGTGGCTCAGTGGGTTAAGCCTCTGCCTTCGGCTCAGGTCATGATCTCAGGGTCCTGGGATCGAGTCCTGCGTCGGGCTCTCTGCTCGGCGGAGAGCCTGCTTCCCTCTCTCTCTCTGCCTGCCTCTCTGTCTATTTGTGATCTTTCTCTGTCAAATAAATAAATAAAATCTTTTAAAAAAAAAGCTATTTTATAAAAACAGTTGCTTTAGGGGGGAGGAGTCAAGATGGCAGAGAAGTAGCCAGCTGAGACTACTTCAAGTAGCAGGAGATCAGCTAGATAGCTTATCTAAAGATTGCAAACACCTACAAATCTAACGGGAGATCGAAGAGAAGAAGAACAACAATTCTAGAAACAGAAAATCAACCACTTTCTGAAAGGTAGGACTGGCGGAGAAATTAATCCAAAGCGACGGGAAGATAGACCGCAGGGGGAGGGGCCGGCACCCGGCAAGCGGCGGAGCAACGGAGCACAAAATCAGGACTTTTAAAAGTCTGTACCGCTAAGGGACATCGCTCCAGAGGCTTAACCGGAGTGAAGCCCACGCGGGGTCAGCGTGGCCTCAGGTCCCGCAGGGTCACAAAAGGATCGGGAGTGTCTGAGTGTCGCAGAGCTTGCAGGTATTAGAACAGGGAAGCCGGCTACAGAGACAGAGCCAAGGAGTGAGCTCTCAGCTCGGGGTTACCTTGAACCGGTCGCAGGCTCGGTGAGCTCGGAGTGCGGCCGGAGGCCAGGGTGACGGGAGTAATTGGGCGCTGTTCTCTGAGGGCGCACTGAGGAGTGGGGCCCCGGGCTCTCGGCTCCTCCAGGCCGGAGACTGGGAGGCCCCCATCTTCATTCCCATCCTCCTGAACTCTACGGAAAGCGCTCAGGGAACAAAAGCTCCCAAAAGCAAACCCGAGCAGATTACTCAGCCCAGCCTCTGGTAAGGGCGGTGCAACTCTGCCTGGGGCAAAGACACTTGAGAATCACTACAACAGGCCCCTCCCCCAGAAGATCAACAAGAAATCCAGCCAGGACCAAGTTCACCTGCCAAGGAGTGCAATTTCAATACCAAGGAGAGCAGCAGAATTCCAGAGGAGGAGAAAGCAAATGACGTAACTCATGGCTTTCTCCCCATGATTCTTTAGCCTTGCAGTTAATTTAATTTTCTTTTTCTTTTTCAATTTTTTTTCTCTTCTTCTGCCAAATTTTTTTTAACTTTTACCCTTTTCTTTTTTCACGTTTTTTAACTAGTTTATCTAATATATTTTTTTTCTTTTTTATATTTTTTCTTTATTCGTTTTCATTTTTTAATTGTTTCTTTTTTTTTCCCCCCTTTCTGAACCTCTTTTTAATCCCTTTCTCCCCCCTCACGATTTAGGATCTCTTCTGATTTGGTTAAAGCATATTTTCCTGGTTGTTGCCACCCTTTTAGTATTTTACTTGCTCTTTCATATACTCTTATCTGGACAAAATGACAAGGCGGAAAAATTCACCACAAAAAAAAGAACAAGAGGCAGTACCAAAGGCTAGGGACCTAATCAATACAGACATTGGTAATATGTCAGATCTAGAGTTCAGAATGACGATTCTCAAGTTTCTATCCGGGCTCGAAAAAGGCATGGAAGATATTAGAGAAACCCTCTCGGGAAATATAAAAGCCCTTTCTGGAGAAATAAAACAACTAAAATCTAACAAAATTGAAATCAAAAAAGCTATTAATGAGGTGCAATCAAAAATGGAGGCTCTCACTGCTAGGATAAATGAGGCAGAAGAAAGAATTAGCGATATAGAAGACCAAATGACAGAATAAAGAAGCTGAGCAAAAGAGGGACAAACAGCTACTGGACCACAAGAGGAGAATTCGAGAGATAAGTGACACCATAAGACGAAACAACATTAGAATAATTGGGATTCCAGAAGAAGAAGAGAGAGGGGAGCAGAAAGTATATTGGAGAGAATTATTGGAGAGAATTTCCCCAATATGGCAAAGGGAACAAGCATCAAAATCCAGGAGGTTCAGAGAACCCCCCCCCTTAAAATCAATAAGAATAGGTCCACACCCCGTCACCTAATAGTCAAATTTACAAGTCTTAGTGACAAAGAGAAAATCCTGAAAGCAGCCCGGGAAAAGAAGTCTGTAACATACAATGGTAAAAAATATTAGATTGGCAGCAGACTTATCCACAGAGACCTGGCAGGCCAGAAAGAGCTGGCATGATCTATTCAGAGCACTAAATGAGAAAAACATGCAGCCAAGAATACTATATCCAGCTAGGCTATCATTGAAAATAGAAGGAGAGATAAAAAGCTTCCAGGACAAACAAAAACTGAAAGAATTTGCAAACACCAAACCAGCTTTACAGGAAATATTGAAAGGGGTCCTCTAAGCAAAGACAGACCCTAAAAGTAGTAGATCAGAAAGGAACAGAGACAATATACAATAACAGTCACCTTACAGGCAATACAATGGCACTAAATTCATCTCTCTCAATAGTTAACCCTGAATGTTAATGGGCTAAATGCCCCAATCAAAAGACACAGGGTATCAGAATGGATAAAAAAACAAAACCCATCTATATGTTGCCTACAAGAAACTCATTTTAAACCCAAAGACACCTCCAGATTTAAAGTGAGGGGGTGGGGGCGCCTGGGTGGCTCAGTGGGTTAAGCCTCTGCCTTCAGCTCAGGTCATGTTCTCAGGGTCCTGGGATCGAGCCCCACATCGGGCTCTCTGCTCAACGGGGAGCCTGCTTCCCCCTCTCTCTCTGCCTGCCTCTTTGCCTACTTGTGATCTCTCTCTGTCAAATAAATAAATAAAATCTTTAAAAAAAAAAAAGTGAAAATATAAAAAAATAAAAAATAAAAAAAAAATAAAGTGAGGGGGTGGAAAAGAATTTACCATGCTAATGGACATCAGAAGAAAGCAGGAGTGGCAATCCTTATATCAGGTCAATTAGATTTTAAGCCAAAGACTATAATAAGAGATGAGGAAGGACATTATATTATACTCAAAAGGATCTGTCCAATAAGAAGATCTATTAATTTTAAATATTTATGCCCCTAACGTGGGAGCAGCCAACTATATAAACCAATTAATAACAAAATCAAAGAAACAAATCAACAATAATACAATAATAGTAGGGGACTTTAACACTCCCCTCACTGAAATGGACAGATCATCCAAGCAAAAGATCAACAAGGAAATAAAGGCCTTAAATGACACACTGGACCAGATGGACATCACAGATATATTCAGAACATTTCATCCCAAAGCAACAGAATATACATTCTTCTCTAGTGCACATGGAACATTCTCCAGAATAGATAATATCCTCGGTCCTAAATCAGGTCTCAACCGGTATCAAAAGATTGGGATCATTCCCGGCATATTTTCAGACCACAATGCTCTGAACCTAGAACTCAAATCACAAGAGGAAATTTGGAAAGAACCCAAATACATTGAGACTAAACAGCATCCTTCTAAAGAATGAATGGGTCAACCAGGAAATTAAAAAAGAATTGAAAAAATTCATGGAAACAAATGATAGTGAAAACACAACGGTTCAAAATCTGTGGGACACAACAAAGGCAGTCCTGAGAGGAAAGTATATAGCAGTACAAGCCTTTCTCAAGAAACAAGAAAGGTCTCAGGTACACAACCTAACCCTACACCTAAAGGAGCTGGAGAAAGAACAAGAAAGTAACCCTAAACCTAGCAAGAGAACAGAAATCATGAAGATCAGAACAGAAATTAATGAAATAGAAACCATAAAAAAAAAAACAATAAAATCAATGAAACTAGGAGCTGGTTCTTTGAAAGAATTAATAAGATTGATAAACCCCTGGCCAGACTTATCAAAAAGAAAAGAGAAAGGACCCAAATAAAATCATGAATGAAAGAGGAGAGATCACAACTAACACCAAAGAAATACAGACAATTTATAAGAACATACTGTGAGCAACTCTACGCCAACAAATTTGACAATCTGGAAGAAATGGATGCATTCCTAGAGACATATAAACTACCACAACTGAACCAGGAAGAAATAGAAAGCCTGAACCGACCCATAACCAGTAAGGAGATTGAAACAGTCATCAAAAATCTCCAAACAAACAAAAGCCCAGGGCCAGACGGCTTCCCGGGGGAATTCTACCAAACATTTAAAGAAGAACTAATTCCTATTCTTCTAAAATTGTTCCAAAAAGTAGAAATGGAAGGAAAACTTCCAAACTCATTTTATGAGGCCAGCATCACCTTGATCCCAAAACCAGACAAGGATCCCATCAAAAAAGAGAACTACAGACCAATATCCTTGATGAACACAGATGCAAAAATTCTCACCAAAATACTAGCCAATAGGATTCAATCATTCAATAAAAGGATTATTCACCACGACCAAATGGGATTTATTCCAGGGCTGCAAGGTTGGTTCAACATCCGCAAATCAATCAATGTGATACAACACATGAATAAAAGAAAGAACAAGAACCATATGATACTCTCCATAGATGCTGAAAAAGCATTTGACAAAGTACAGCATCCCTTCCTGATCAAAACTCTTCAATGTGTAGAGATAGAGGGCACATACCTCAATATTATCAAAGCCATCTATGAAAAACCCACCGCAAATATCATTCTCAATGGAGAAAAACTGAAAGCTTTTCCGCTAAGGTCAGGAACACGGCAGGGATGTCCATTATCACCACTGCTATTCAACATAGTACTAGAAGTCTTAGCCTCAGCAATCAGACAACAAAAGGAAATTAAAGGCATCCAGATCAGCAAAGAAGTCAAACTATCACTCTTCGCAGATGATATGATACTATATGTGGAAAACCCAAAGGACTCCACTCCAAAACTGCTTGAACTTGTACAGGAATTCGGTAAAGTGTCAGGATATAAAATCAACGCACAGAAATCAGTTGCATTTCTCTACACCAACAACAAGACAGAAGAAAGAGAAATTAAGGAGTCAATCCCATTTACAATTGCACCCAAAACCATAAGATACCCAGGAATAAACCTAACCAAAGAGGCTAAGAATCTATACTCAGAAAACTATAAAGTACTCATGAAAGAAATTGAGGAAGACACAAAGAAATGGAAAAATGTTCCATGCTCCTGGATTGGAAGAATAAATATTGTGAAAATGTCTATGCTACCTAAAGCAATCTACACATTTAATGCAATTCCTATCAAAGTACCATCCATTTTTTTCAACGAAATGGAACAAATAATCCTAAAATTTATATGGAACCAGAAAAGACCTCGAATAGCCAAAGGAATATTGAAAAAGAAAGCCAAAGTTGGTGGCATCACAATTCCGGACTTCAAGCTCTATTACAAAGCTGTCATCATCAAGACAGCATGGTATTGGCACAAAAGCAGACACATAAATCAATGGAACAGAGTAGAGAGCCCAGAAATAGACCCTCAACTCTATGGTCAACTAATCTTTGACAAAGTAGGAAAGAATGTACAATGGAAAAAAGACAGCCTCTTCAATAAATGGTGTTGGGAAAATTGGACAGCCACATGCAGAAAAATGAAATTGGATCATTTCCTTGCACCACACATGAAAATAGACTCAAAATGGATGAAGGACCTCAATGTGAGAAAGGAATCCATCAAAATCCTTGAGGAGAACAGAGGCAGCAACCTCTTCGACCTCAGCCGCAGCAGCATCTTCCTAGGAACATCGCCAAAGGCAAGGGAAGCAAGGGCAAAAATGAACTATTGGGATTTTATCAAGATCAAAAGCTTTTGCACAGCAAAGGAAACAGTTAACAAAACAAAAGACAACTGACAGAATGGGAGAAGATATTTGCAAACGACATATCGGATAAAGGGCTAGTGTCCAAAATCTATAAAGAACTTATCAAATCAACACCCAAAGAACAAATAATCCAACCAAGAAATGGGCAAAAGACATGAACAGACATTTCTGCAAAGAAGACATCCAGATGGCCAACAGACACATGAAAAAGTGCTCCATATCACTCGGCATCAGGGAAATACAAATCAAAGCCACAATGAGATATCACCTCACACCAGTCAGAATGGCTAAAATTAACAAGTCAGGAAATGACAGATGCTGGCGAGGATGCGGAGAAAGGGGAACCCTCCTACACTGTTGGTGGGAATGCAAGCTGGTGCAACCACTCTGGAAAACAGCATGGAGGTTCCTCAAAATGTTGAAAATAGAACTACCCTATGACCCAGCAATTGCACTGCTGGGTATTTACCCTAAAGATACAAACGTAGTGATCTGAAGGTGCACGTGCACCCGAATGTTTATAGCAGCAATGTCTACAATAGCCAAACTATGGAAAGAACCTAGATGTCCATCAGCAGATGAATGGATAAAGAAGAAGTGGTATATATACACAATAGAATACTATGCAGCCATCAAAAGAAATGAAATCTTGCCATTTGCGACAACGTGGATGGGACTAGAGGGTATCATGCTTAGCGAAATAAGTCAATCTGAGAAAGACAACTATCATATGATCTCCCTGATATGAGGGAGAGGAGATGCAACATGGGGGGCTAAGGGGATAGGAGAGGAATAAATGAAACAAGATGGGATTGGGAGGGAGACAAACCATAAGTGACTCTTAATCTCACAAAACAAACAGAGGGTTGATGGGGGGAGGGTGTTTGGGAAGGGGGGGTGGGGTTATGGACATTGGGGAGGGTATGTGCTATGGTGAGTGCTGTGAAGTGTGTAAACCTGGCGATTCACAGACCTGCGCCCCTGGGGATAAAAATACATGTTTAAAAAAAAAAAAAGTTGCTTTATTAAAAAGTTGTTTTATGAAAACAAAAATTATGAATTTTTAAAATAAAATTATATATATGATAGGGCTCCTGGGTGGCTCAGTTGGTTAAGCGACTGCCTTTAGCTCAGGTCATGATCCTTGAGTCCCAGGATTGAGTCCCACATCGGCTCCCAGCTCAGAAGGGAGTCTGCTTCTCTCTTTGACTCTCCTTCTCATGCTCTCTCTCTTCGCCTCTCTCTCTCAAAAAAAATAAAATCCTTTAAAAAAATTTATATATAGGAATAGACCAAACAGTCTCTCAAAGCTACTACTTATTCGAAATATTTTTCAGGTTGTTAAAATCTAAAAATTTTTTTTCTTTTTTCACTCTCTCATCTATAGCCTTAAAAATTGAAGAATTACAAGAAGCTTTACGGAAGAAAGAAGAGGAAATGAAGCAAATGGAGGAACGGTATAAAAAATACTTAGAGAAAGCCAAAAGTGTGAGTGTCTGTAATGCATTTATCTTGGGGGCCCGAATTGGGGGTGGAAGGAGAAGTGATTTATCAAAGACATTTGGAGACACTTGTGGAAATGCGGATTTGGATTGAACAGTGATGACTTACAGAATTGTTGGTTTTCTTACAGAGATGTTGGTATTGTGATTGTGTAAGAGAATGTCCTTAGTCTAAGAAGACGCATGTCGAAGTACTTAGGGGGTTACATGTTCCCAGGTCTGCAGATTGCTTTACAGTAGGCTCCCAAACAATTGCGCACGCGCGCGCGCGCGCGCGCGTGTGTGTGTGTGTGTGTGTGTGTAGGTGTAGAGAAAATGGCAGTGCAGCAGTTGCTGAATTGGGATTAAAGGAAATGGGTTTCTGTTCCCCTCTTTTAGTTTTCTATAGGTTTGATCAGTTTTTATAGTAAAAGTATTGAGCCAAAAAGCAAAAAGACCTTTCCCAGAAGACTGCTAGTTGGCCAACTAGAATTGATTGCATAACATGCCCATGGCCTAAACCAAGCTGCTGGCAGAGAAGGCAGTAGAGTCACAGTGACAGGCTTTTTAACCCTCAGGACCCATTCCTCTAAGTATTGTGCTGCTCAGAGGCAGAGGTTAGCTGAGGCATACAATAAGATTTTTTCTTTGGGGGCACTTGGGTGCCTCAGTCAGTTAAGCCTCTGCCTTTGGCTCAGGTAATGTCCCAGAGTCCTGAGATCAAGCCCCATGTTGGGCTCCCCACTCAGTGGGGAGTCTGCTTCTCCCTACAACCCTCCCTCTTCTTATGTTCTCTTACTCTCTCTCACAAATAAATAAATAAAATCTTTAAAAATTTTTTTTTCTTTATTTCTTTTTGCAGGTTATCCGTACTCTAGACCCTAAGCAGAATCAAGGAGCCGCACCAGAAATACAAGCTCTTAAAAATCAGCTTCAGGAACGAGACCGACTCTTCCATTCTTTAGAGGTACTTTGCTGTATACTATATGATAAGATATTTGGTGTTTTTTGCTGTTGTTGTTGTTTTTTAAAGATTTTATTTATTTATTTGATAGAGATTACAAGTAGTCAGAGAGGCAGGCAGAGAGAGAGGAGGAAGCAGGCTCCCCGCTGAGCAGAGAGCCCGATGCGGGGCTCGATCCCCGGACCCTGGGATCACGACCCGGGCCGAAGGCAGAGGCTTTAACCCACTGAGCCACCCAGGCGCCCCATTTTCTTGGTTTTTGGTTTTTTTTTTTTAAGATCTTATTTATGGGGCAGCTGGGTGGCTCAGTCATTAAGCATCTGCCTTCGGCTCAGGTCATGGTCCCAGGGTCCTGGGATCAAGCCCCACATGAGCTCCCTGCTCAGCGGGGAGCCTGCTTCCCCCTCCCCCACTTCCCCTGCTTGTGTTCCCTCTCTTGCTATCTCTCTTTCTCTCTCTGTGTCAAATAAATAAATAAAATCTTTAAAACAAAAAAAAAGATTTTATTTATTTATTTTACAGAGAGAGAGATCACAGGTAGGCAGAGAGGCAGGCAGAGGGACAGGGAGAAGAATACGCTCCACTGAGCAGGGATCCTGATGCGGGGCTCGATCCCAGGACCCTGGGATCATGACCTGAGCCGAAGGCAGATGCTTAACGACTGAGCCACCCAGGCACCCCAAGATACTTGGTTTTTGATACTTTATTTTCTAGGAGCCTTGCTATATACAACTGTGTCCATGAATTTATATAACTAATTGTATTTTATTGATACTGTGTTTTTCATCTTTACATGTTTACATGTGCTTGTTTTTTAGAAAGAATATGAGAAAACAAAGAGTCAAAGAGAAATGGAGGAGAAATACATTGTTAGTGCCTGGTACAATATGGTAAGAAAACACTTCAAAACACATTGCAAAGTTCACTGAATATGTAATGTTTATTATACTACCTGTATTATACTACTGTATTATAGAAGTAGTTCTACCAAATAAATTTGAAAATAATTGCTATCCTAACACACACTAACCAAACCTAATGCTGATCTTAGGATTGAAAAGGAGAAATGAGAACCACCATAATAGGATTAGGGTTAGGATGTTTTGAACACATTATTATTCCTAAAGGATAGAAAGATAAATGACAGTTTGATTTCTGGCCCTGAGAACCATTTTATTCTAGGAGAAGGGGACTTTAATAATATTGAAACACAGATGCAGTAGCATTTGTTTTATGGGACTATTCCATTATCTTCACAGGAGTGGAACTTACAAGAGGATGGTTTATCTCATAGGGTTTACAGAATGTTCATGGTGTTAATACCTGAACTAGAGGTTTTGAAATTGAATTTTCCAACACAAAAAAGTGTTAAAAATATTACAAGGGAAAAGTAAATGCTTATCAACATTCTGGGCTTCAGTAAGAATTTTCTGGATGTGGATAGCTGTGAATTTTGAAGAGTGCTGTACTTTTTTCAATATTTTTGTCCTAGACTTGTCTTTTTGCATTGTTTTTCTTCCCAGTAAGACCACTTCTGCCTTGTCAAAGTGTTACTTGCCTAAGACAAGAAATTGAGCCGGATTTTTTTTTTCATCATCTCCCCCTTCCCTATTGTTATGTTGTAGTTGTTTCTGTTTTACAATTGTAACTGATACTGTGTCTTAAAGGATAATGTCCCAGGTCTCCTAATAATGGGATTTTATCTTTGTCATAAATTCATCTAATTTCATGACATGTCCACATTTATGTTGTTTTAACCACAAGGCAAAAATATTTCAAATTTTATTAGAATCCTAAAAAACAAAGGAAATCAAATTGGGCTTAGAATATTATTTTGATTAATAAATACAGATTTCTTGAAAATGAAAAATTACAGAATAAGGGAAAACTATGTAAGGAAGTTCTCTGAAAACTAGTTCTGACTCCACCTTTTCTGTTTCCTCTTTGTCCTCTTCAAAGGTTAGTGGATCCTTATTGGTCATTTCATAGTTTTGATTGATTTGTATGACTTCACATATTGTGGTTATAGAGCGAATTTACTTATTCTATGACATGGTATTAAAACATAGCCCTACTCTTCAGCTCTCAGGGAGTAAAGGAGTAACTTCTAATAGCCTCATACAGGTTATGTTCCAGAAAGATAGCCAGTAACAGCTTCATACATACATTCAGAAAGTTCTGCATCACAGGCTACTGAATGGAAAGGAGGTGACGAGCACCTGGAAGAGGCATTAAGTATCTCAGAGAATGGCCCAGTCATGGCTACTGAGGTCTTAAAGGTGTGTGAAGAATTTAAATAAGTTGCTTGGAATGTGAAAGTAAAAAAAGATAATATATTTTAAATAAAATAGAATTGGTAATATATGTAGCCACTTTAATAAATTTAAGGATTACCAGTAGATATTTGCCATTTTCTTCAGATTCTTAAATGCTTTGATTTTAAATTGAGTAAAAAACATATTCTGGATTTTCTTATTGGGAAAATGGAGAAATGTTGTTTATTTAGGTATATGTGATAGACCGAAATTCTGTAAAAGATGCAAAGCCATGACTAGTGTTTTCTCTAGAAGCTAACAAGTGATATGAAGGTTGATGTTTAGTGTTCTGTCTTCTGCGCTAATCTGTCCAGTTCACTCTAGGAAAGCCCTAGGACTTTTCACATAGCTTGGCTTGGCTTAGGTCCTGCTCTCCTTTTGGCTCTCAGTTGCTTATTTCTTCCTTTCTTCCTTGTTGCAGTGTCCACTTCCTCCCATCAGTTTACTTGTAGCCAATGACTGGTGAGAATAGTCACTCTCCATTCTTAATGGTTGCCTGGTCAGGGTTCTTTACTGGCTTATTAAATTAGTATCCAGACCACTTTTTCCCTGATCTCCTCACAGATGAACAATTTTAAAAGGCCACTCCCAGAGGTTTCCTCCCTCCTGTTAAGGTGCTCTGGGCCCAGCAATTGTATATCCTCTCCCTTCTAAGCTAGTAGGCCATCCTCCAGTCTTCAAAAAAGACCCCCTGCTCTCTTGGGCCCTCTGTTGTGGGCTGTCAGGAATTTTTCTTAATTTGCTTGGGAATGCAAGCCTGCCTGCCGTGAAGAAAAACACCCTGGTGGTATGTATTATATCTAGCTGTGGCTTTCCTCCTTAAGAAACAACATGTGCATTTGTGTTTTCCACTCAAAATAAGGCATGTGATTTCCACAACCCCATGTGAATCAACTGCTACCAATCAATCGTCCTGTTTGTTCCTGGGAAATCTCCTTCTACATTTGATTTAAAAAGGAAGTGTGATTGAATGTGGGCAATATACTCCAAAATTGTGTCTCTATTATCTGGGTTTTGGTTATTGTAAATTCAGAAAATTAAACCTTAATTTTTCCAAGAGAAGATTTGTACCTAATTGTTGGAACAGAATTAACATTCCTAATTGTGCCTTATGATGCAATGAGACAAATTCTGCATGATGATTTTTTCTTTTTTGATAAGAGTATGTTGCACTTTTTTTTGTTGATTACTTTTTTTTTTCCTATGTTGTATAGGGAATGACCCTGCATAAAAAGGCGGCTGAAGACAGACTTGCTAGTACAGGTTCAGGGCAGTCATTTCTGGCTCGGCAAAGACAAGCAACCAGCACAAGAAGATCTTATCCGGGCCATGTTCAACCAGCCACAGCAAGGTAGACAAGTCTTGCCATCAGAATAAAAAAAAAAAAAAAAACCGCCCTGCATTCAAAGCATACTTCTGTTACATATGATGACATTTCAGGAAATTCAGCCAGCTTATTTTTGTCTTTTATGTTGATATTTAGTTGTTTCTCATTTGAGGACTTTCTCTCTCCTGTGTCTATATTTTAGTTTCTTGGTTCTTTATTTTGTAGTCCTTTCGGTTCCTTTTAATGTGCCAAAAATTTTTAAATGCCCGATTAAAAGTGTTGTATAATAGTGTAGTACTTTTCTTTGTATGAAAACGTCCTTTCCCCAATTGTGTAGGCTTTGTAATGAATTAGATTTTCTGCCAATAATTGATATACAATTTATATTCTTTATTGTGCCTCTGTGTTACCATGCTTTATAAGAATGTCTTTGTTTAAAGGGAATTAATCTTTTTATGATGTATTAATCCGTGTTTTCAATTGTTTTCCAAATGCACTTCAAATAACTTGCATATTTACTATATAAAATGGTTGGCAAGTGCACTTTTTGCAAAGACATAAATACATTGGCAGAGGTGCTAATCAGATGTTACCTAAGGCACCTGATAGATTTATTTAGAGGGAAAAAAATGAGTTTTCCACATTGTTTTATAGGAAATTAAATTTGTCCGAAGATTTGGAAACTATTTTTAAAACATACATAAAATTTCATTATTTCTTGCTATCTTGTTTGCTGACAGAAGATAAATGCAGTGGTTAGATTATTTGGGGGGAAATCACAGAAGAAAAAAAAAATCAGGCAGTGCATTAATTTTTTTCTTGTTCTGGAATATCCTAGTAACTGAACATCAAATTCTAGCAATGTGGCTGACATTTATAGTTTCAGTTGCCCTCCGCATCTGAAAGATTTATTTTTCATGTACTTACAAGTAATAGGTAGCCTTACCTTTTGGACAATTTCCTTGTTGACTTGCACTTCAGTTTACTTATTCTTTAATATAAACCCTTCAATTTCTCAGTAATTCCTAAACCTAACATGCTACTATCAGTCTGTTAAGATCAGTAAGTGACTTCTTGTATGTGATATTATGACAGGTCTCTTAACATTTTTTTTCTTAATTCTATGTACTAGTCCAAGACTTTCTCTTGGGTATTTGGTTGCCTCAGAGTTCTTAAGATTTGTTGACAGATTGTAAACCATGTTTATTTACAATGATGAATGGCTGTCAAGTAATAATGATTGGAAAGCACTTTGTATAAGGTGCTATATAAATGTGAAATATCATTCATTTGAAAATGAAATTCCTATGCCTGACTTCCATAGTGACTTAAGAATTTGGTCCCAAATTATATTTATGCTCCCCTCTAGCCTTTTTCTTGCATCATAGCCAATTTTTTTTTTTAAGCAAAAAATTAAATTAGGTTAGTTGTTTGGTTAATTGGTTTTGGGTTTTAGATAGGCCCTCTAATAAGATTTCATTTCATGTACTTGCTATTTGGAAGTTCAGGTTTCATTTAGTCCTGTATATTAAATACAAACAAATAACACTAAATCAAGCTACTTGTAATTAAGAATTTTCAGAAACTATATTCAGGTGTTTGGCTTTAAATCCTTACTTTTTTTTTTTTTTTTTTTAATAAGAAAATTGACCTAAAAATTGGTAGTGTTTTCATTTGTCCTCAGAAACTGTACTTATTTTTTTTTTTTTAAGAATTTTATTTATTTATTTGACAGACAGAGATCACAAGTAGGCAGAGAGGCAGGCAGAGAGAGAGGAGGAAGCAGGCTCCCTGCTGAGCAGAGAGCCCGATGCAGATGCGGGGCTCGATCCCAGCACCCTGGGATCATGACCTGAGCCAAAGGCAGAGGCTTTAACCCACTGAGCCACCCAGGCGCACCCCAGAAACTGTACTTAAAGAAAGGTATTAAGAGTATACACAAAAATGACTCCATGCATTGTGCTGATTTTTTACATTAAGTACAAAAGTCTGAGCACGGTGTGAATGCTTCTGCCTGATAAGACAGTAAAGCAGGAAGAATTTGTAATAATGGAGAGAACCGCATGAGTAGAATGCATTGTGGAGTTTCAGGAGGCTAAGCACACCTCATCAACATAGTTTTAACAATAAAAGATTAAAAACTTCTTAAGATGATTCTACCCCTGCCCCCATATTTCACAAATAGCGTAAGGATTTAGCTGTTTTAAAGAAAGACATGAACACTAAACTTCGTAACATTAAAATTATTTGGGAATTATACTACTTGCAGAATAAGATAGATGAAAGTAAAAGAGCTATTCATTAAATGGGTTATATCCTATGAGATGAGAGGTTTTAATTTTAATTCTCTATTTACTGCCCCAGTCCTGGTTTCCTACCTACCGACCTACTCAGATATATTTCTCCAAATGTGAAGAAAAGGTGCCAGGCTTTTGGAAGCGAGTTTTACTTCTCAGTTTTTCTATGGCATCTGTTGCATGCTATTACTTGGTGTTTACATTCATAACTTTCACTCTCCTTTACCTTTATAGTTTAGTATGTTACTTTCATTACATAGAAGAACTTATATGTCTAAACATTCTGGTGCTTTTTTAAAAAGCAGGAATAAAACTTAGCTTGTAGCAGTGACAGCCCTGTTTTCCTTGCCCAGCTTTGGACAGGATGTATAAATTGCTATTTCTCCAGTAGGGATTAATCATTTCTCAGGAGGTTTGTGATGATGCATGCATGGTCTGTCTGGAAGTTGAAAGCCATTGGGTGCTTTATCTAGATATGAGCCATACTGTGCTGTATTTTTACAAACTCCTTGTATATGGTAGCTTCATGAAGCCACAGTTCGCTTGGACAGTGGAGCTAGCCCTGGCCTCAGCAGTGGAGTAAGTACAGTGTTACTGCATTATGTGGGGGTAACCCATCCTGGCAGTGTTGGACTCTTATCAGCAAAAAGCTTATTTTCTCTTTTCCTTCTAACCAGGGTAAGAAAATACAAAGTAAATAACTAAGAATAAAAGAATAACATTTATGTTCTGCAGTGTGTATTTACAAAGTTTGTAATTAAAAAATCCAACAAATATCCTAGTTTACCATGTAGAAAAAGAGAATAAATAATACAACTGTATATATCTTAAAAGAGCTTCAAAAATTCAGTCGTACCTTTTTATCATTTGTCTAATTATTTGATAATAACCAAGAAAAAGAAGTCCCTAAATAAAGCACCCATGTTCCAAAATTGATTAAGATTGAATTTATTTGTTTGATAGCCCTAGCGTGGTAAAATTGACTTGGTGGGATGTGAGATGATTAGATTATAATAGGATAATTTTGTTGAGGTTTTATTGTTTTGTTTATATAGTAAAAGCTCAGTTGTATAAAATTGAGCTTGATGTTCTCCAGTCAGAAACACTGGCCTTTCTATCTCATTAGATAGAAAATCCACACTGTGCAGATAGATCAGCAGTAAGTGATTGTTCAGCAAAAGAGGAGTTAAGCTGAAGAAAAGATCATTTTATTAGCTACTTTATTCACATCTCCTTTTCATAACAACTTTATTTTTGTTAGCTAATGATAAATATTTTTTAGCATCTCTTGCTCTCAGACAAGCCTTCATCTTTTCAAGATAATACCATGTTAAAGATTTGAAAGTTTCAATCCCAGGATGAGAAGTGTCTTAAAGCAAAAATCTAAACGTTTAAAATTATCTTAACTCTCTGCACTCAATTTCCAATTGTCTAGATTTCAGACTTTGGAATGTTACACTTATCCAACCCAGTTGGAACATGTGAGATTATCTGAAAAAGTGTCCACAACCCACAGCTTGTGTAAGCCTAGCTAGTTTACAGCCCTGCGAGTAAGAACGACCATGATCCTAAAATGAGAGCAAAGTGCTTGTTGTCTTGCTTTTTGTTAATTACAGAATAACATTAAGACAAAATGCTTTTTGTTGTCTATTCATTAAACTATGGAAGGAAACTTTGACTTCTTACCTTGTATTATGAAGGGATTCTCGTCAGGTTGATGTAGCATTATACTTCTTCAAAGTCAAGCCTGTGTGATACCCTGAAGCAGATGAAGGAGGTTCTTAAACAGAAGAAATGGGGTATCAGAGTCTTTGGAAATTATTTTAGTATGCTTTTTATTTTCCTTTCTTATAAGTTAAAAGGGTTTCCATTCAATAATGATAATCTCTTTTTCTATAATCCCCAGTGGTCAAAACAGCAGCTTTTGGTAGTTGTACAACCAGTTTCATTACATTTAGAAAGCGGTTTCAGAGCTTATTCTTTGTAACTATAATGATTTTAATATTTTATATCATGAAGTTTTTATATGAGGAAGGCGATTCTCAATGTATCTGTCATCCAATTTTTTACTTTATCTATAAAGCATATTTAAATAATAATTGGTGTACGTTCCTTTTATTGAAAATTTTGAAAATGTCTTCTTGTCCAGTTTAAGCACAATAGTTTTATTCTAAAGTATTGTAGTAAGAACTGTTCATTCCTCAGAAACCCCAAAAACAAAATAATTTGCTACTGACACAGCTAATTTCTGCCCTTCCCCACTCCCCCAAATCACAGAAGTATTAATATTTAGCTTCCATTTTATAAAATGAAGGACCGTACAAATATAATGACATCCATTTAAATCATTGATTATGTTCTTGGGAAGAATGAATGTATTATGATAGCCTTTTATCAATCCATTCCAACTTACATGTTTTATCTATGAATATAAAAACTTACAAAGTTTATTTAATGTTATCTTCAACTATACTTGGACTCTTCACGGTACACTTAAATTGAAAAAGAGAAAGGGATATTAGTTTATTTGAGAAACAAGAGACCTGAACCTAATTATGGCAAGTATATGACTTTTGACAGTTGTAGGGGGTCTATACATGTTTCCTAACAATTATATATCAACAGTTATGTGATGTCTCTCTTCATTATTTTTCTATTTTCCAGTAACATTCTGTTAGATAGGTTTGTATGCTGTATTTATAAGTGAGCATAAAAATCTGAGAAAGTAACAGAAGTCTGTTAAGGCATTCTAATTTCTAGGAATGGATTATCGTGATAAGAAATGGCCTGATTATAAACAAATATCCAGGCGGAGGGAAGTACTAATACAATTAAAAATAACACTGTCTTAACAAATGTTCCTAAAGTGATAGTTTACATAAAATCTTCTGATTTCTTAACATGACCATTAAATAAAGAGGAGTAGACAAAAATATAATTTATTTTTTAATTGTCCTTCCCTTCAGTGAGCATTAACTGGGCATACCATATTCACTATACATTTAGCAGTGGAGGGGAAAGCATCTGTTAATTTTGAAACTGTTACACATTTCTAAATCGAAGATAGTGACTGGAAGCCACTAAGGATACTATGAA